AATAAAGTTCAGCCTCAATTTTATTTGTTTTTCATTTTTATAGCTGCAAGTACAGAGAAACCTTTTTTTGAAAACTATTGGGAGAGAAAGGAGTTTTATTATGGCAATTTTAATTCTCTGGCCACTCAATTCTTTGACCTCTTGAATTATATGCCAAAAATCAGAAACATCATCTATAATTTTTTTTAAATGATTTATCACCTGACAACTGGCTTAGGTCATCCTTCAGACTGATTGAAAGCAAGTAATTAGAAATCGGCCTGACCTGCAGAAGGATTAGGTCCCTGGTCATTTACTTTCTCAACACACCATTTCTCTGCATCCATTTGCACGATGTCCCTGAGGTTCTTGCCCCCAAGTATGATGCAGGAAGCTTAGGGGAGACTCTTTCTTTTATTTCTCTCACTTAATAAAGTGAGAGAAAGATGATTCTGAACAGGGAAAGAGGGGGGAGAACCTGCATCTGCACAACAAGCACATTCCCAGGCAGATGAATTTTAGGAAAGAACATTTGACACTGTGGATGTGGATGTGGAGGCTCCTTAAATTATCTGCATCCTTGAACCCCTGGAAAGTCACGTTTTGGTTTAAGGATCATTGCTCCCCTGGGTCTGAGTCACCTTACTCCCATGAGTGGCAAGAAACTTCCTGAGACTTGAATGGTTTATCAAAAATCCACCACTCTTGTCTCTTTCCCTGGTTTTCTACAAAAATGTATCTTTTTACCCAATGGCTTTTAATAAACGGCATCAAGATTGGTTTCAAGTGAATAAAACTTCTCCCCAACCACTCATCCCTACCTTGACTTTCCATCCATTCTCAAAACTAGATAAGCCTATTCTTTCTCGGAGACATTTATCACTTTCCCACCTACTAGAGTTTATGAGTGAATTGTTAGATTACATCCACTTGAACCAGAACCTGGTCCTGTGGCATCTCTAGTCCAATTACAAAGTTTTATTTAAACCTCATTTTTTAAAAAAAGTGTATAAATACTTATTTTTTTATAAAGGCTGATGGAGTTTGGATGTATTGTCCTCCCAAAACTTGTGCATGTGGAAACTTGATCCGCAACATGGTAGGGTTGGGAGCTGTTTTGAGTCATGGGGGCAGATCCCTCATGAATGGATTAATGCTCTCCCTGGGGGGTGTGGGTAGTGAGTGAGTTCTTGCTCTATTAGTTCCCACAAGAGCTGGTTGTTTAAAAGACCCTGGCACCTCCTCTCTCTCTCTTGCTTCCTCTCTCACCATGTGATCTGCTTGTACCCACCACTGCCTGCCACTTTCTGCCATGAGCAGAAGCAGCCTGAGGCCCGCACCAGACGCAGCTGTCCCAGAATCGTGTGCTAAATAAACCTCTATTCTTTATAAATTACCCAGTTTCAGGTATTCTGTTATAGCAACACAAAAAAAGACTGAAACAAACGCCATTTTCTTCATAAGGTATAGGGGGATTTTGGGAAGAGGGATAGTTTGGCCAAGGACATATGTAATATGAAAATGATTTTATCAGTACCATAAACTCTCAAACTTCATTTAAATCTGAAAGCAAAACAAAAAACAGCATGTATGTGGATGGGGGACATTTAAAATTCCAGGATCTTTCAAAGGGAGAATACATTGATGCTCAACTCCTGTCACTGCAAATACCCCCCGCTCTGGAAATGTTTGACTAACGGCCAAACATTCCAGCAAAACAGTGTGGATAAAGGATGGAGGACAGGACGAGGAGAAGGACCCACTCAGCAAGCATATCCCGCCCCAAGAATCTAAATACAAGCTCAGGTGGGAAACCCAGTTTCCCATGGCAAAGACACAGGCATTTCTGTGACAAAGTAAATACACTGGACAGGAAGTAAGATCTTGACCACTCACCAGAAGCCAAACACAAGTATGGCATCCTACAATTTAGAAATGTGTACCAAAATCTTTAAAATGCATATAAATGTACCAAAAGCTACCTCTTCAATTATACCCTAAGGAAGCAATTGGATCAGTGCACAGAAATATGCAATATGGATGGTCATTGTATTTTTTTAATAATAAAAAACTGGAATCCTTAATGTCCGTCAGCAGGAAATTAGTCATGTAAATTATGGTAACTGACGGCCCAATCCATTATGATGGATGTGGCCATGACTTAGAGTGATGCAGACCTATTTATAATGTCATAGGAAAATGTCCACAAGTTGTATTATTACAGGCAAAATCAGGTTAACAAAATAGTGTGACTCTATTTTATAAGTGTGCGTGCACATGCGCACGCGGGCACGTGCACACACATGGATGTATTCAACAAAACAGTCAAGGGCACGATGTTAACACAATGCTAACATCTTGGTTAAAAGTGAAGGGGTTGTAATTAACCGACCATTAATGTCCAAAGTGCAAGGTTAGTGAAACCAGGCAGAACACAAAAGCACCGAGCTGAGCACAACAAAATACAGGACATTATATTTCCCATGAAAGCACCAAACTAGTAATTCCTGGGAGCAGCCAGGAAGCCCCAGGTAGTTTTCAAGGAAAGGGCCTAAATCCTGAAGTCAAAGAGGATGGAACTGGGGCTGAGAAAGTGGACAGCAATTCTATTAGGGTCTCCCTGGCTAAAAAACCCTACTTTTGCTTGACCTGGGTATGGAGCATGTCTAAGAACAGGGAGAAAAAACTTTTCTTAAGGAGTACGTTCTATAGTGCCTCCTGACTTTTAAAATACTAAGTACTCTGAATTTGGGCTTTAGAAAAGTGTTATGCCTCTCCCACCTGAAAGTAATTGACCGTCAAGAAAATGTTGAGGCCACATATTTTCTAAATCCCTTGTGTTCTTGAATCACTAGACAACAGCAAAGGACCTATTGCCCGCAACTTAGAAGTCACCAGCCCATAATAAGGGCCTACTGCTTGGTAGCAGTTACATGAGGACTTGTTTATTTGTCACATTACACCGAGGAACATGCTTGAGGTTGTGGACTCAGTGACAGTAGACACTTCCCCTACCGAAACAGTGTGATTTATAGGCTAAAAGTTGCTTCACATGATAGAGAAAATAGACCAGAATAAACTGAATGAGATCTATGGTCCCAGGGACATGTTTTGGGAGGGTTTCTACCACTGCTTTGGTCAACAGAAGATAACAGCTTACCAGCAGCACCCACACTCTGTGTTTACAGAAGCCCTACACATTCACGATTTGGGTTCTGAATACTCCTTTTTCTTTCTGCAAACATTGACTTACTTTACAGAAGCCTAAGGGGAAAGTGACACTGCATTTCTGATCTCACACATTTCATTTGTGGCTGAATATTTTGTTTTTTCCCTATATTTTCACTTCTCCCTCCCCATAACCTGCTCAATACTTCTAAGAGGCCAACTGTCACAAGGGTTCCCTATCCTGAGATAGGTTTGTGGCAAAAAAAAAAAAAAAGCCAAACAAACAGAAATTGCCTGTAAACCTTGGGTATCAACAAAAAGTTTGCAAGAAACAAGATAAGGGCTTTTCCCCACTTCTCCTCCCTCCCCCTCCCCATAACCACCCACCCAGAGGTTTACCCAATGGCTAGGGAAACGGGTGGGAGAGCTCTGAGGGATGGAAAGGGCCAGAACATGGGCAAGAGAGGAGATAAAATGTCAGAGACCAAATTGCAGAAGCTCCCTAGGTGAGCACACCCCAGAGAGTTGGGCAGAAGGGAACCCTAGAGAGCCCACCACCAAACCTGAAAGAGCCTGTGGAGGAGGAGGTTGGTCGTTGCTACCCTACCTTTTGCAGACAAATGGACTCCAGGACTGGAGGGGCAAACACTACCCTAAATCCCCCCAAGCCTTGATAATTAGGGATGGAGGGGTAAACTGAGGATGTTTTCTGCCAGCCTGGTGGGATAGGAGCCTGAAAAAGAAATTAAGTTAGGAGAAAAGGCGTTATGATTAATGATTCCTCTATACTTGGCTTTGAGTGCTCACTTCCTCCCCACAGACTTAGCTTTGGACAGGAAAGCAGCCTAAACTGCTAAATCTCACTCACACCAGAGCGCAAACTGTGGCAATAATTTCATCCAGAAAGTGTTAAGCTGGCTTCAGCCACCCCCCAAGGGGGATATACTGGGTGCAGAAAGAAATCTTTTTGTATCTTAAAAAGGTATATATTGTGTAGTAATGTCTGAATATATTTAAAATAAAAAACATACGTGTTCCATATCATTATTCAACACCAAAAAGTTTGGAGGCTGCCAAACTAATGTTTCTCAAATGTGAACATGCAGATAAATCACTTGATATGAATCACTGGGGGATTTTGTTAAAAATAGAGGTTCTGGTTCAGGACATCTGGGTGGGACCCAAGTTTCTGCATCTCTCATGAGCTCCTGGTGACTCTGACGCTGCTGGTCCGTGGACCACCCCTGCAAGGAGCAAGGCCCTCACTGCAGGGCTCCCCAGCTGCCAGGAAAAGGAGAAAATCTTTCCATCTGTAGAGCAGGTGTAGGTGGGTAACTGACCAGGTGAGGTTTTGTAAGGGACTCTGGAGGAGTAAGATTAGGACTCTGACAAGAAGAGAAAGGTACTCCAAAACCGTATTCACCTTTTTATGTGATTCTGTTAAAGACCCAGGCAACAGGCATCGGGTGACAGTGACAAAACACAAGAGTGATTCAAAAGCTTACTCAGCCAGGCCAGTCTGAGCTCTGCACTTCACCCCGATACTTCCTAGGCACCCCTCAACTTGTTCCCACCATGACAGGGGAGGAGACTAACATAGTGCCCCGTTTGGGCAACAGATAGTATTTGTGGTATTTCCTTTTCTCCAAATCTTTACAGTTGCTCAGCATCTTGGTCTAATGATTTTGGGTTTTCTTTTTGGTTAAAACTTCAAGCTCCATCAAGACAGTTTTCCCTTGATGATCGTGATAGTTATTTTTTAAGAAGACATTCCCAGGAATTTTCTCCCACGGACTCTCTTCCGCCAACAGTGTGTACTCATCCTCCCATCCACAAAGGCATAGAATCACCCAGACAATTTTCATTATTTTTATTGGTTGACAGGCATTTACAACGTTCCATTCATAGACCTAAAAACATAAAAATAGACCTTCTTTCAGCATATAAAAGAAATATATAAGAACTTTTGACATAGACACGTCATGACCTTATGTACAAGAGACAATGGCACCCTCTCCAAGCACCAGACTTTCCAGTATTTTCAGATAGATGCGTTGCACTGGGACTAGGAAATGCGACTACTCAAAGCCTCTGCTTCAGATTTCCATCCGGACACAATCAAACTGGAGATGATATGGAACAATGCAGTGATACAAAGGGTATAGAAACCATTCTAAAGCTTTTTAAGAAAACCGGAAGATATAGCAAAAATTTAATAGAATAAAACTTTCAAAAGATCAAGCTCAAAGCCCTGGAAACCCGAAATGGGAGGGACATAGGGGAGAAAGCAGGTCAAGCAAGCAGGAGCACAAGAGCATGATGTTCTGAACTCTATTGTCTGGAAATATAAAGTCATAACTGATTTTTATAAAATATAATTCCTAAAGCTACTATAAAATTCAGGTCTTTAAAGTACCTACTGATGTGTCAAACACCAAATAGATATTTTCCACAAAAAGAAAGTTTTCATATTATTTAAATTCTTCTTAGGAAGTGGACATTGCGAAATGGGGGAAGGAAAAAAAGCTATAAACCTTTTAAAAAAAATTGAAAGTGCTATAACTTGTTTTTGTTCTTATTTGGATATCTGTTTAGAATGCTAGGTTTTCAGCATGTTTACCCTGTTTTGTTGGCATGAAGAAAGTATTAAACACAGATGTTTTTCTAGAGGTTGGTTTGTTAAGAGGTTTGGTTATGGACTGTCAGGGAAGGGGTAGGTAACCTATGAATGAAGATGCAATTTTGATGAGAAAACCAATGACAACCAAGGCAACCCCATGAGAAAGAGGCTCCTCTCCCCTGCCATGTGCAATAGAAACACACACTGCCCACTCAGGTGTCATGTTTAATTCAACCAAATTCCCATCATAAATACAGATTCAAACACTAAAGAAAAAAAAAATCTTGGGAAAAAAGTTAATCCTTAGCATGAGCTTCTTGGTGGCCTTTCGTATATAAATATAAAATCACCATGCCTCATTCTCTCTGTAAAACATTATATCCTCGTTTTTTAGACTCAGTTACACTAACACTGTAAAATTCTCATCTATTTGTGCCCTGCATCTCAGGTAAAATACAAAAAATAGCTTTTTCTTTTTTTCTCAAGTGATAAATTTGGATCTCTTTTCAAAGAGTTTGGCATCTTTATAATTCTATGCAAAACTAGAGCTTCCGAACAGTGACATAGAGTAAGACCAGCCATAGACCAAAACAGAAGAAAAAAAAAAAGGCTCATCAAAACATAAATCGCCACCCTCTCCTCACACATTCTTAAAATACACAGATATTCTCAGACATTGAAAGGGACAGGAGTAAGAACACTGCAAGCTGTACAGATGTTTTGTTTCTTTTTGTGTTTGAAAGTGGTTTCCCCTCCTAGGAGATTGATTTCAGATAGAGCAAGCTCGTGTGTGTGTGTGTGTGTGTGTGTGTGTGTGTGTGTGTGTGTGTCCCCTAAAATTAATCTGTTGTACATACTGAAACTGCTGGGGGTGATTTGCTTTCCAGTGCTATAGAATTTTTTTTCTTTTAATTCTTCAGGCCCTGATTGAGAATAAATAAAAGCCCTTAGTTAATATACAGAAGATAGGACTCAAGCTTACTTGGGATTCTGAACAATTCTTTCTGCTGTTGTTGCTAAAAATGACAAAGTTGGGTGGCTACATGGCTTCAGAACCAAGTCAGCTGCCAAAACCGTGTGTGCAAGAGTGCGGCCGAAGGGAACATTCTCGTCGACGGTACGGGAGGGCGGGGACAAGTATCTACACACATTCTCCAAGCGGAAAGCGACGCAGTCAGATCTCAGTGTTCAGTTTCCTGGAGGGGGCAAAGTCTTCGCGCCTAACCCAAATGACCTCCTCGCTGGCACTCTCCAGGCCTGCGCTGATGCCCGACAGGGCGGCTTGCTTCTTGAGCTGTGCCATGCGCGACGCGTGACTGTCCAGGGTTTTCCGGCCTCTCTCCTGCTGGCTGATGCAGGCGGCCTGAAGCCGCTCCTGCAGGTCTCTGTCCACTGCGGCGCCCCTCACGGACTCACAGAACTCATCGTCATCACTGAGGATGTCTGTCTCCTTGATGTCGTCTTGCTCCTCATACTGAGCAAGATCAAACTGTTCCTCTACCCACCGGTCAGTGTCCCCACCACCGGGGGGCTGCTGGGACTCTTTCTCTGGGCTGCTTGCGGAGACGGCATCAGAATCAATGGTAAACCTGTTTCGAGCCAGGCGCCGCCTCCTCCTCCCAAGAGACTTGCTTGGGGCGGACACTGCACACACACACAAAAATATAAAAATAAAACCCCCACATGCTTTATGTGAGATGAAAATCCAGACAGCAAAGAAAAGAAAAAGCTAAATGGTATGCATTTAGTGCCTTGATGTCATTTGGGGCTTCGAGTCTACATTTCACCAGTCCATCTAGGAGTGTTTACACCTTGCCCAGATGCCTGGACTCAGAGGATGTTAAAGCAACTCACTGAAGGGCAGGGGACATGGGTCAGGTTGTAGGTTATGGGAAAAGAGGACTCAACTCCCTCTGAAATAATCTACTCCTCCAACCTGTGCACCTAAGAGACAGGTCACATAGACCGCTGCTGCTATCAAGTAGACCACTGACCTTGAGATTAGTCAGTGAGTTAGGGTCCTCAAGACTTGACCACATCCCATGGCACAGTGCTATGAAGATCCCCCCGGGTGATTTAGCTGGAATACGTCTCTAGTAAGGGTGGGGGTGCTTCTAGGGTTTTGCTGTCTTTGTAGAAACCGTCAGGATGTATCAAGGAGGCAGGAACACTGGTCTAAGCTATGATGCTGTCTGGGAACTCGAATGTATCATTTCTTGAGGCTCTGCAGTTAGATTAAAGGTACCATATCCCAGTTAGAGTCCCCTCTTTTCTTTCTACAGAAAAGAGTGGCACTAAAGATATGGAATCTCCAGTTACTTCCCTGTCCCCTTGCTGTCAAAGTCCCATTTGAAATGTGAGGCTAAGAACTGTGAGCCTCATTCCCTCCTATGTTCCGTGTATCACTCATTCTTACACAAAACAATTAAAATATTAGTGCCTGAGTGGAATAAGAAATAAATGTGACACCGAAGCAGTTGATCAACAAAGTACTATAAAAAGTGACTAAAGTTAAGAAAAACAGATCTTTGTATTCATTCTTTCACTCTAAATAGCCAGAATTATTAAAAACAAGCAGACAAGAGATGTCACCCCATAAAGCAAACCAACAAGCAATCCCACCATGCACACACACACAAGAGACAGCTCACATATAAAAGCCACTGCTTCTCCTTGGATCTCAGTAAGTGGTTGCTGCATTAGCCACAGAAAGGTGAAATGCAGCATGGGCTTCCCAATGGAGGGGGAGAGCCTACACACCAACTGAGAGTCACTTTCCTGAAACCTAAGCACTAAAAACCATTAAAATACTTCAGTGCTGCTAGAACTAAGATGCCCGTTCTCAGTTACTGCCAAACGTAGCCTTGACTTCCAACACAGCAGGCACAAGCGTCAGAAAGCTCAACAATGACTTGACCAGCTTCCACTCCAGTCATCCTCTGCCTCAGACCCCTGTGCACCCACCCCCATTCCTGAGTGTTCTGCCACCTTAAAATGAAACAAATGGATACCACTCTTGTTCAAGGAGGGGGATAAATACTATTTTCAGGCAAAACAGGGGGAAAAAATAACCTACTTTACTCCACTGGGAAGAAGCAAAAATTCCTGTTCAATTTTGTCTCAACGCCATCATAGTGAAGATCACTCACTACATCAGAACTAATCTAATTCAAAGCTACTAGAAATGCTTGTTAATGATCTGCATGCTGAAGTATTTAGGGGTAAAGGGTGCTAGTGTCTGCATCTTTGAAATGGGTCAAACATAAGATGAGTTGATGACTGACAGATGGATATGTGATAATGAAAACAGAAAACAGATGGCAGGTATAGGGTTTGTTTTCTTTCCAAAGGGATCTCAGAGGAAACAGTTACTATAGACTAAATGTGCTTAGTTTCAAAGTAAATGCAGCTCTGAATTTAGGTTCACTGATTAACAACTGAAACCTGGACAATGATAGGCAGGTTCCCTGAGGTTGGGACACAGATTCCTAATCCTTATTAAACATTCCCTGGCATACAAGAGGAGCAGGTGGGACAATTCCAAGATAAAATTCTGTACAGTGAGCTATACAGGATCGATGAGCTCAGACATTGTGGATATGAAAGTATGTAAGGCTCTTTGGATACCTTGGAGAAACCAGCAGAGTGCTGGCTGTTCACCGCACTATGTTTTCAATAAACACATATTGATTGATTGGAGAACAGATTTAAAATAACCAACCTCCTAAAATCAATTAAACTTAAGTTGAACTTATTAGAGAATGTAATATCCCATGTCAAGCTAGGTAGGTTATGTCTATGAAAACCTTCAACCATTCACAGTACTATCCGTGCATTTTCAATACGATTGAGAACAGGCAGAAAGATAATCAGGACAGAGGTCAGAATTCTTTTTGGCAAATGCGAAGGGAGCCTCTTTTATTGGAATCCTCCCTGCAAAATTCTGGGCTGCCTCTTAATAAAAGAGTGATAAAAATGTTAATATCTTGATGTCATTAAGTACCTAAGTGTTAGGAAAATGTCTTTCTTCCTTGATATATTTTACTGCCATTTACAGGTAGTATTGATTTTCCTTCCTCACTGCTCCAAAGTGATTAAATAAGTCCTACAAGAAAATTTACTCTGGGACCATTTAAACTCTAGATTCCTCTTTTCCAATAGCAGCTCAAGGCTTCCCCCGATTAACATGGAGACTATAAATAAAGGTGAGGGTAAAAATCTGTTGTGTCATCTGGTCTATCAAACCTGACATCCTTACTGAGAACAGGCTGGGATTACGAAGCCACTATGTTCTCAGAACAGTGAACGGTGACCTTGCTGAGACATGACACACTGCTTTTTGCTAGATTAAGCTGGCTGTCATGCAAAGCAGCGACCCTCATTCCATAAGCAGGCTAAGAAAGCCACTCCAGAAAGAGGATACGATGGCTTCCTGGCTTGGCGAATGAGAGAGGAGCTTACCAGCCAAAGGAGGAGGCAGCAGAGGGAGGCTTGAGGGAGGGCCAGATAAGCCAACAAAGGGTGGACCCCGGGGAGCCACCAGGAAGGAGGCCAGGGCAAGGAACCTCACACCAGGGAAGAACTGTACTCCTACGTTAGCCCCCACAAGGCCACAGCTAACCCCCTCTGGAGGAGGAGGTCAAGCTCACGCAAGTTCTACAGCGGAGTGGGGGTGACGGGGATCTTGAACGTCTGAATCCCCACAGTACCTGCCCTGCTCATGGCTGGCCTGGCCCCTTTCAGGGCACATAATCTTTTTCCTCCAAAAGGGACATACTGCTGGGATGAAGGAAGGCTTTCGGTTTTGAGCAGCTGTCTTCTGTGCTTATCACGCAGGATCGAATGCACAGCCTTCAGGAAATCCTTCCGGCTCTCTGGGGAGCTATGAAGACAAGATTTAGATGGGTTAGGGAAACAGCATTTAAACACATAGACAACTTTTTTTTTTTTTTTTTTTTTTTTGTCTTTTTCGTGACCGGTAAGGGGATCGCAACCCTTGGTGCGGTGTCGCCCGCACCGCGCTCAGCCAGTGAGCGCACCAGCCATTCCTATATAGGATCCAAACCCATGGGCGGGAGCGTCGCTGCACTCCCAGTGCCACACTCTCCCGAGTGCGCCACGGGGTCGGCCCACATAGACAACTTCTAATGTTATCAGGTGCGGCCAAACAAATATCCCTGAGGGCCATAGGTTAAAGACTGAGGCTGTGATTCCAATTTCTATGGTGAGCCACATTTGCATAGCTGGGGAAAAACATCACATACTCCCTTTATGCTCTGTGATTCATCTCCTATGGCCTGTGAATGACCAGATCGATAGACAGAAGGATTTTGCACCCAGAAGCTGCCAAATTCTGCTCTTGGCACTTATAGCAGAGCCTGCCTTTCACTCTAAAACGTTTTTGAGGAAAAATGAACCACAATATTCTTGCAGCTCTGCAGAGCACCCAAACACTGATGGTCCTTCGTTTCCTCTAAAGTTGGGCTCCCTCCTATTAAATATCAACTCTTCCCATGAGACATTTCAGCACATAAGTACTAAGGCTATATTGTTAAGAACTGTAAAATCTTCCCAAGCCCTAATACTCATGGTAAAAAAAGTGCTTCCTAGGTAAGAGTTATTTTTCTTGTTAAGTTCTCAATATTTTTAACCAGGTAAGTTTCACCTGGAATTTCTTATAAACCACAAATATGGCATCTCTACAGGCAGGTTCACTGAATCCCATGGACTTGACCAATATATCACAAAGAGAATAGTCTAAACAGATGGTAATGATGGTGCCCAAACCACATGTAAATTATCTTAAACTTTTCACTTCTAATCCTGACAGCTTCCTGGGGATCTGCCCTTTGTTGACCCCTGTTACCCAATAGAGAGGTGGTGTAGCAACTCAAAACATGGGATTTGAAGTTAAACCCACCTGAGTTTGAACCTAGTGTTCATTTTCTGTAAGGCTTTAGACAAAGTACCCTCTATGAACCTTGGTTCCCCATTTGTAAAATGGAAAAACAGCAGTATCTTGGTCCGACTAAATGAATTAATGAATGTAAGGTGCTTAGCATAGTTCATGCTTGGCAAATGCGCCTTCTTACTATCCTAGCAATGGCATTATAAAATATCACTGATAATCATAATGATATTGATTCCCTTGTTTTTTTGTGGGCAACCCATAGCATACTTCTATTCACTGTGTTTCAAGTTAATTACTGAGTGCCTATGTTTAAATTCAAGCATGATTAAATATGGTTTATATTTAAAGCCAAATAGATAAGAATGCTGTCTGTTGGGACCATCCATCTTGATATTTTTAGGGGAAAAAAGGAGAGAGAACTGGCTACATATGGAAGACCTCAAATTCTCGTGGAAGAGGTAGAGGAGAAGAGGGAGAAGAAGGTGACTAGAGAGAGGGAGAAGAAGGAAAAAAACAAGAAGAAATAAGTAGAAGCCCGCATTGTAGGTTCAGCTTCCACTCATGACCAATGGGCAATCAACACAAGTCAACCTCCCTATGGTGAAGTTTCTTGAAATGATCAGGAATCCTGTTCATACCTTTACACACTATTTCCTCCTCCCAGCTGATTTGCTATCTGCTGCATCTCAAAGATGCTCAATGCACCCAAATGCCAAAACACAATATTATAAGACAACCATGTCATTCTAATCAATGGAATGCAAATATGGGAAGAAAGCCCTGTTTTGAATGTTGAGTATATGTGAACATTCCTATTTGTTTACAGAAAGATATTAAATTAACAGGTTACTCTCTGTATTCTAATAAAATCAGAACTACTGATTTAATAAGTGTTACTTTCTCGAATGTACAAGAGAAAGACCACAGAGTCTAGGGATGCAAAGGCTGGTTTGCAAACCACAGAGGAGGCTGGAGAACAGTCACTGGGCTGTCTGGCCTCGGCTTCGCGGGGGCAGCCTCACCTGCAGCACAGGTGGAAGACTCTCTCCGGCCGCCCTTCAGATTCCGATTTTACATGGACAATTTCACACACAGCATTCGCTTCTGCATCTAGATATATTGAAACAAGAATGAATTATGGTACTTTTCAAATGGATTTACTTACATTTTTGCAAAAGCATTTTCCATGCTTTGGTGTAAGTTTAAATAGAACAGAGCAGCACAAGACCAAAGATATTTCACTCCTATCCCACAACCTAAAGAGACAAAGTGACTGAAAGCTTAATGGATGTCAAGAAAAGAACACTTGTAAAATGTCCAGTTGCTAAAATCTCCTTCTAGGTGATCTAAAAGGGCAATCTGTCAATCACATTGATTGAAGAACTCACCCTTCCAGCTGCACAGCCCACTGGGCTAAACTATTTCAATTAAGTGATTATTTTGGAAACAGTTGGACTAAACGGACCCCAAGATCCCAATGCACATTTCACCAGGGTAGAAATATAAGGATGCAGGCCATTGCTGGCTGTCAGGGGAGCCTCCCCGCTGAGCGACCAGGCCTACTGCCCCAGTAAACAGGCCAGGAGACTTAATGGGGCTCCTCTTCTCCTGCCTTCCTGCCATGCCCACTCCAAGTGGAGCAAAAATAGTATGCCAAGAAGATGAAAACAGCAATATTTTAGGATAATTTCTAAGCTTTGCAATGCCTACAGAACCACATTATTTTAAGCCATGAATGAAGTGTTTGTGAAAGAAACAATTCACTGCAGACATGAAAGCTGCATACTGTGAGGTCTCCTTCTTATCCTGTGGTTTAGAACCCTGGTCACGAACCCTCACTGTGGCCACATTATTTAACCCCAACCAGAATCCACTTGCAGAAAGTTTTAAAGACTTTCCTGAGCTAAGATAAAAATCGAGAAATTCCATGTTCTGATTCTCAAATCCACTTGAACGTATTTCATAATGAGAGACATTTTGACTAGTCATTATAACTTAAAATAAGCTTTCAACAGTTTTAAACTTGATATGAATGAAAAATAGAGGGTGAGAATGGAATGTCATATCACAAAGATGGCTTTGTTTTCAAACTTTAAAGTCTTTGTGTGTTTAGTCCTCAATTAGGGCAAAATTCCTGGCTAAGAAGCCAGCAGTTTGCTCTAGAAATAAGCTTTCTCATTTATAAACCTGGCACAAGGAAACATATCCAAACCTCAAAAAGTTATTGCAGCTGTTATAGACCCACAATTTACAAGTTACTGAAAACTCGTTTGTAAATTGATTTTGCAAATCAAATCATACATGAAAAGGCATCAGGGTAAATCACTCTACTGGAAGCCTAGAGAGAAAACTTAAGGCAAATAATCACCCCAAATATCTTTGTCCTACATAGATTTTTGTGTCTTCCTTCCTACTGCAAGGCGTAACACAACTGTGAAGAAAGATTTATGTTGTTTAATTTGGGGGAATAATTGGAAGTTTACCATACATTGCAAGAGGCTTCTCCTCAAGATATCAGACGAGGGTGAGTTGGATTTATGAAGATCAGCTCCAGTTTTATTACTCATGGAGGTGACAAGTGGAAAGAAGGGGAGGCTAACACAAATCGAACAGCAAGAACTTAATGCTCACATTAGATGCCAGAAGCATGAAACAGAAATACACACCCATTGTGTACCTGCAGAGGTCCACTTCTAGGGCCTCTTTTTACTACCTGAAAGCTACATCTGCTGTCCAAGTGGGATAGGGAACAGGTGTGTCCACAGCGTTTCCACTTGACTACCCAAAGATGCTCCCTTTAGGGTGTGCCTAGGAGAGTCACTACTGATTCCTCCTCTCTAGAAGTTGGCCACAAATTAAGCCCAGGATGGGGTCTCTAAGTCACAGAAATATTGTTTCTTAGTCAATACCCTGCTGAAGTTTACTTCTCTTCTCATGTGCTTAAAGCATCAAGTGTTCTCATGGCTACACCCAGCAACTCAGCCTTCACTACTATTTGGATCACAGAAAATGAACTGACTTTTCAAAAGTCTTTACACTGATATTGAAGATAAAGATTTGTAATACTTCAGGGGAAAAAAAGGTGCATTCAGTGGCTTTTTGGTACTTTTGGTGGTCTTTTTGGGTCTCCTGGTCAAAAGGCAAGTAAGTAATTTATATGGGCTTTGTCTTCTCATGGTCTCAAGGACTCCTTCCAGAAGTATAAGGGTTCTTCAAAAGTTCATAGAAAAGTTAGTTTTCTTTTAATTCCATTTTTTCCATGAACTTTTTGAAGTACCCTCATACAAAGCTCATTGTTACTTGTATGCTAGTCGCTGTAATATTATTATATTATATTTTACATATATATATATACATATATACGTATATATACATATACAAATACACACGTATACATACATATACTTATATACGTATATATATACACTTATATATATATACGTATATATACACTTATATATAAATACGTATATATATATATATAAAACAGAATGACTAGAATTCCTTGGAGCAATTTTGAAGGCATTACACACCCATTCACTCAGTTCGTTCATTCACTCAGTTCACGCATTCAGTTCATTCATTCATTCTTTCATTCAATATTTAGCAAATGGCTGGGTAAATAAGAGGCAATGGAGAGACTGAGGGAAAAGAGAGTTATGCATAGAAGAAAAAAGATGGTAGTGTGGTTAGACCAAGAGTGTGGATTCAAATAATCCACACACACATCAGAAATATGTGCCCAGCACACGTTGAGAGTTTACCTGCACTTGCCAAAGCTCGAACCTGTAGAGCTTCGGTAGGGATCATGTGTCGAAATCGGAAGGGGTCCCAGTCCTCATAAATGGAAAGCCTGTGAGATCCTACCTGCAGAGAGGAGAAATCAGCTGCGTAAGAACAATCTAACCTACCCTGAACCAGGACCCCACATTTTCTAAACCAGTGACAGACTCTCACGCAGCAACTCTGCTTCACCCATGTGCTCTTTCGTTCATCCAGCAGAAAGAAAGAGGCCGCCTGCTAAATACACTGAGGGTGTGCAAATAAATAAGGTATATTTATTAAATATTTATATTTATATTTAAACTAAATAAAATATACTAAAGTATTTATATCACATTAAAATATTTATATTATATATTAAGTATTTATTAAATGAGAGTGTGCAAACAAGGAAGTTTGCTAACCAAATACAGGTTAAGAGACACAAAGGAAAGGAGAGAAAAAGGATCCCAAAACAAGAATGGGGGCAAGACTGAAAGGTGGAAATAGTGTTAGGAAGGTTCTGGACCAGGGTAGACCCAATAGCTATTCACTTCCATGCTCTAAACAAGAGCCTGCCTGAAAGAAGGCAGGATGGGCGATTTCCTCAAGAGACTTCAATAACACACAAAGAAATCATAAAAAGCTCATGCCAATAAAAGGGCAGAATGATGCAGCTATAACTGAGAAGCAGATAGAGAGATACTTTCAAACTATGGAGTGAAATAAGAAATCTTACAAGCTTCTTCTTCTGTTTGGAACCATCTTTATACACAAGGACCACAGCAGTTTTGAAGACTTGAAAAAAATAAAAATAAAGGCAATTATGGCATGAAATGCATAGGGTTTTCCCCTTACCTTTGATAACGTGTGGTGATAAACACTTCGGTTATAAAGAAGACAGTGAGATCCCAGCTAACTAACTGGCTCCCACCCACCCTATGGTTGATTTGCCACATCTGTGAAAATCAAATGCCTATTGAGACAAGATTTTCCAGGTTCAAAATAAACAGAAAACCTACATAAATGGAAATAACCTCTCCCCCTCTTCAAGACTTTTGGGTAAAATATAATATTTAGCTATTATATCATCTCAAGGTTAAAAACTTCAGCTGACACATATTCAATAAAAATGTATTAATTCAGTAGCTGGAGGAATAATACAAATGTCTTTAATAATAATACAATTGTTGAAATGATTTACATTTATGCAAGTTAAGCTAATATTACATACACAGGAACACACAGTGTTCATAATTCAGGAAACAGAATTCACCTTTTTGACCTAAAGAAACAAAAATTCATTTATGAAGTAGAATGCAATCCCACTTATTCTAACAGACTAAGTCAGAGTAAGCTCTTTAGGAGCAGTGAATGTTATTCTTATATGCTTTCTGGGAGTGGGGAGATACAATGGAGTTATGCATAATCTTCCAGACAATTCTTTATGCAATGTCAAGCATGTATATTAACATGCAGTCATTCTAACTCCTCCTAGAGACAGAAGTGGAGTTGGCGCCCAGAAGGAATGGTAGGGTGACTCCAGCCTGGCCTTGGTTCTGTGTGTCAGGGTCTCTGCTGTGGTCTAAATGTTTGTGTTTTCCCAAAATTCCCACGTTAAAACTAAACCCCAATGTGATGGTTTTAGGAGATGGGGCCTTTGGCAGGGACCTCATGAATGGTGTTAGCACTCTTATAAATGAGGCCCAGAAGAGATCCCTCACTCCTTCCGCTGCATGAAGATGCAGCTAGAAGGTGCACCTATAATAATGTGGGATCTTAGACTCCCCAGTCTCCACACTGTGAGAAGTAGATTTCTAAAGTTCACGGACTACGCAGTTGACGGTATTTTGTTAGAGCAGCCTTCACATACTAAGACAATTCTCCATATCCATTCATCCCTGAAGAACAGCCCAGTCCCATGGCAGCCGGATGAGGCACAGCCTGGTATATCCGACAACAGAATTACAAAGGGAATGAATATTCAGAGAATTCTCAGGGATGGGCCACCAGGCTCCCAGGCCCTCTGGAGACCAACCCAATCTGGTTTATTTTCTATCCTACTTCGGACAGGTCAGTCTTCCCTTCGTGTAGGGTCATCCTAATCTCCACTGCAGAAAGTAAGCCTTAAGATGTAAAGATCCCAATTCCAGACACTGGATCTAGATTAGATTGTCCCTAGCCCTTCATACCTCCCAGCATCTGACCCCTCAAGATTCCCAGAGGACAGACTGGAAGGTTCCCTCCCAGAGATTCGTACTGACCAGGGAGGCCACAGCAGCTCTGCACAGCGGCTGAGCACCAGCAGCTTGAGGATATCCTTCATTCGCACCGTGAAGCCTTCAGAAGTCACAGTGGCCAAGACAGCTAAAGGTCCCTTTAAAGTAAGAGAGTTCTACCCCAGGAGAGAGGCCTGAGTGATCCTAGTCTCGGAAGACCCACCACATCACTAGCACTACAGCTCAATGACATGATTGCCATGGGTCTAAGAAGGCAAACATGCCTACCTCAGTTCCCCTCGACCTTAACTATCTTGGATTGCAGCAGTAGAGCCAGACAGTGAGCCTCAGCCTGGCACTGAGACCTGAGCAATAAACACCTCAACCTCCCCCTCAAACTTTCCCTATCCTTTGGGCTATTTTCACCTAAATGACTCCATGGTGTTGCCTAATCCCTTTAGACACAGCCTTGATCTCCAAAAGTCCTGGCTATCCTTGCCAGCCTAAAGCACCCTCTCCATTCCCCAAAAGTTGAATATCTAATACCCTTCAAGGCAGAAACCTAGGTCGTCATCGTTGTTTTTTTAAGACGATGATCATCAACATTCAGCGCACATTAGCCATCCTGTGAGTAAAACCACAAGGTGCTGGGTTGGCAGCAAGTCAACTTCAGTTTCAGAAGAAAGCTTGCACTATTTCCTGAGATTAGAGGTTTAAACCAAAACAAAAAGACAACCATGTTTTAACCCCAAAGTTGCTCGATCTGTGGTAATTAACCTACTTCCCTCACAGTGACTCTTCCCTATTTCAAAAGGCATTTCTGAGGCTGTTATTTCTGCTTTGCCACTTGAAATCACAGAGACTGTCAAACCTGCCACTTTTAATGACTGGGAATCCATATATAAGCTCATTATAATGATCACTGTCAGCCTTTGTTCATGATCCCAATTGTAATCCTTCCCTTCTCTTTACCATTACTCTGGAGAGGATTCTGAGTAATCATAAGCTTGCCTGTGTCACTTATTAATGATAAGCTTCTTTAGTTTTATCTTGTTAACTATGGCCCCTACTAAGTTTGCTGTCACTGTGGTACAGTGGGGTATGCAACATGTACCCACAGCAGGGACAGGTGTCATGGGCTCACCTTCCTGGGAGTTGGCTACCCCACACTGCCCTCTCATAAACAACCATGAAGTCCGCTATCTGAGCCACCAAGAAGCATCAGAGAGATCCCAGACATCCCCAAGGAGAAAGTACAATATAAGAAACACAAGTGGTGATGCTGAAAAGAGACCAAATACTACTTCCCCCAAAACACCCACCCCCATCAAAAACTACCAACTTGTTCAAATGCCCCAATACCCCTTTGTAAGCCCTATTCAGTCACGTTTTCTCTGCACACTGATGTGCTCCTTTGCTAGTTTTAATGAAATGGCATCAACAGCTACAGTGGCTCCATAGAAATTTTAGGAATATCACTAGGTTCTCAATGAAAGCTAAGTACTCTAAGTAGGAAGTTCAGTAAGTCTAGGCATTAAACACTCTAATTTAATATCACTAGGATGTTCCATTTGGGAATACTTTGTTCACACCATAGAGGAAAAGAGTTCAATTTAAAGGAACAGTAAACAGACCTCACTCCCCCCAAGCCCAGAAAAATAACGTAAGGTAAGAGAATAGTAAATGCTACATTTCCTTTATATTGTGTTCCTACCCATGAATCTTCTAGGGGGAGACTAGGAAAAAATACAACATAAAACAAAAGCATGGACCGTTGATCATTTTATAAGCACTTACACTGCAACAACAAGCCGTATTTCCTGAATTACACACAATTTCCAGTATGCTAACCCATAACTTTTCTCTCTTTCTCAAAAACCCTATTACAATACAATCAAATGTGATCTCCAACTGGAGCAACTGCATCCATCCATCCATTTTTAATCCATAAAAAATTAATCATTCACAAGTATATCTAATTTTGCTAGTACAAAGAGTCTTCAAAAAGTTCATGGAAAGATGTGTATTATCTTGTAATTATATTTATTCACGAACTCTTTGAAGTACCCTCACATTTAGCAGCAACGTGATTGAGATGTACCTCCCAACTGATCAAGGCACCCCAGAGTTGCCACAGTTCATCAGAGAACCATCCTCCTAAATCCCAGCATTACAAACAGGAAGACCATCAGGGAGAGAAGAGGATTTGAGGTCTCAAAAACAGACTTTTTTGCCTTGATTTTTCACTTGATTTTTCCTTGGTTTATTATTAACCCATTATTTTGAAAAAACACTCAGAGCAGCAGCAAGAAAAAAAAATTCTTTTCCTGCCTGCACGTTTATACCTGAGATAGAAGTGGGCACAGCTACTTCGGGCCACCCATGCCGCTGAGTGGCAACGTAGTACACATTTAAGTGGCAGGTTTAATTTAGTATTTGTGAGAGGTTGATGGCCATACCAGAAAGACCACGTCACACAACTATAATTAACTTTATCTTAGTTAACTATGTCTTAGAAAAGAAAAGCTCTTGTTTTAAACAATAAGCCAGCCATTTCCCCCTCCTCAAAATCCTCTCCTGATACATACCAAAGGCTGCCAATTCTGGCTCCTTTTTCCACTTGCCCAGCGACGCTGGCGGGTTCAGCCAGATCACTGTTGTATGCAAAAGCAGGTCGCCCATGCTCAGATCTGCAACCTGAAAATCAGGCAGCTGATGTCAATTTTACTTCATGAACATATTGTTCCTAAAAACATTTGATTAAGTCTGTGAGATAACACATAAGTTAAACAGGTGGCTTTATAGATTCCACAATGTATTCACATATCAAAAAATCATGTTGTATACAACAAATATATAATTTTTACTTGAAAACTTAAGAGAAATTTTTTAAAAAGAAATAACACAGAAAATGACAGATTACATTTTTAAAATACTTCTAATTTGTCAGTGCTCTGTAAACACAACCTCTTTGAAACAACAGGATTAAGATATAATATCTAGCTAACTTTTCTACTGCCAAATAATAGTATCATTATGTTCTAGCCACATTTGAGCTAGAAATAGTACAATGAGATTTTAATGAAAAAAAAATCATTTAATTCATATGAAATTTTCTAATTGAAAAATAAATCCTATATATTCCCAAAGAAACACACAAGATGCAGGGGGGAAAAAAATGCTCATCTTTTTTTTTTCTTTATCCCATGTTTGTCTACCAGAATTTCAAGAATAAGATGGCAAAAAGGTGTAAATTGGGGCTCTCAAAATCACACAGTAAATCTGTTAAAAGTGATCTACGAAATTGGAGATGTTCAAATAGAGATAGTTTCCCAAAGAGATACTAATGACCATCGATGACAAAGATCCACCCCAAAAACTGCAAACACTCCCACTGGTGAGTTTGGTCTTCTGGAAAACAGTAAAATCAAATTATCTCTTCTTCTAATTCATTTTAAAGAAGATTTTATCCCACTTTAGAGGGGAAAGAAAGAAGCCAAATAAGGGGTTTGAAGATCCCTCTACAGGCTTGGGTAGTGTGAAACCCTGGAGTCCTCAGACATCAGGTCTAGCTATATGTCCCCAGTGGCCAAATCCTAAACCGTCTCAGACAAGTTCTGGTTGTAGAGCCATCCAGACATGATGACCCAGAGTCCAATGGTAGTCCAGTGTCTACACCTCACCACAGTCACGTCTACTTTCCAAACTGGAGTCACATGCAGCTATGGGTTGAATACGTCCTCCAAAGATTCATGTATTAGTAACTTAATCCCCACTATGACAGTGTTAAGAGGGTGGGAAATCCTATTACAGTATTTGGAAGATAGGGCCTTTAAGAGGTAAGATTAGATTGTGAGGACCATGCCCTTGTGAATGGACTTATCCATTCATGGAGTAATGGACATGGTTCTGATGACTTTATAAGGAGAGCAAGTGAGCAGGTTAGTCTCTCTTGTTCAACCCATTCACCATGTGACACCCTGTGTTGCTGTCACCACCAAGAACAAGACCCTCATCAGACATGCTCTCTGGACTTTGGACTTCCCAGCCTCCAAAACTGTAAGAAATAAATTTCATTTCTTTATACATTACCCAATTTCAGATACTCTGCTATAAGCAACAGAAACATACTGATATACGGATCCACTTCCAAACCCATCAAAATCCCAACCTCCTATGCACTGCAGGGGGGATATTCTTATCAGCCTAATCACAGGAGAAGAGCTGGGTCTCTTGACCTGCTTTCTACTCAAACATGCCAGGGGACAAGATTTTCAAGCAATGAAAGTCCATGGTCCATCCCATTTGTAAATGCCACAAATTGTTAGAAGTCCTTCCTCAAATATGCCTCCCTGAGGTGCCTACCAAGTGGCCTCTCACTTCTATTTTCCAGGTCCATAAAAATCAAGCCCAATTCCCACCTCTTCAAAGCAGCATTTCAAACACTTGAAAACTTGATGTTGAGCTTCCCAAGGACAACTGGCTCTCATTTATGTTGCTGCTTATGATCTAGCCAGGTTTCTAGATACAGCAGCAACTGGGCAGCCCTCCACTGAACACAGCGCATTTTGCTGTTGCCCTCTCAAGCCACCAAACAGGCCTCAGTGCTGGAGATGGGGCCCCACATCAGTTCAGAATACAGAGGTCTTGCTGCCTCCCTTGATTGGGATTATATAATCATTACTATAATTATTACTGAGCTCTATTATTAGTATAACCAAGGGTTAAAAAAATTTAAGCAATCATTATTACTTTGTTGATACACATTATATAGTCAATCAAACCCTCAGGATATTATCAGCTAAGGGAACTATATCATCTCTACTACCCACCCCTCAAACTCCCACATGGAAGAGAAGTAGTTCTACACAAAAGTCAAATTCACAGAGCCTCAGGGGGTATGTCTTTAAAAGTGATTAAAGGTCACGGTGGTAGATTGTCCAAACTCTACTTCCTCCAATAAAATTGTATGAATATCTGTTCCTACTGCCATGTAATTTTCTTGACCTCTCACTAGACTAGGCAGAATATACATCTTTGTCTATAGGACTTTGAATGTGGCCATGCCACCTGGGCAATAGACATTGCATAACAAGTTGCCACCAGCCCTCTTGAGTTACCACCTTCCAACCATGGAAAGGACTTGCCCAAGACAGCCACTGCTGCTTTGGCCTAGATCCTAAGAAAGAGACATGGGACACAACTGAATCTTAAGGCCTGGAGCTCACCAAGAGAAGCCAAAACTCAGTTGACTACAAACTCACACATGAAATATTTGTTGTAGTGAACCACTGAGATTTTGAGTTGTTCGTTACACAGGAAAAACAGCTGATACAGTCCCTGTGTACGTGGTTGCTCTCGCAACCAGTTTCCATGTGGCAAGTGTGATGAGGGGGTCGGGGCTGCTCCCTTGGGCTTCCACTGGCCCCCCTCTGAATCTTCCTCCTGAACCCCAGCAGTGAGTTCTGCTGGGAGGCCTCTACCTTAATGAACACTAGGATGCCCTACTGAACCAGGTTTTTAGAGGCTTTCTTCTAAGGGCAAGTTAGAAGAAAGTTACTTCCTCCTTCCTAAGTAAAAGGGATGCTTCTATGTAGTACAGCTCAACTTCCCATAATTTAACATGGGCGTGAGAGACTGAAGGCCTGGCTCCATCATAAAATGCTTCTTTGCCAGCTTTGTTCTGGGTGAACATATTTGTCTTCAGAGATATCCCAAGGAAAGTTGGCTGAAGACAGGATTCAGGTGTGCTGTGTCCCTAGACTGTTACCATTAAGGTATAAATCTGCCACTACCAGCAGACACTGACAAATGTTCGTATTCCTGATTACAAACTGTTCATAAATCCATTCTAGGTTTTTACTGGATATTGCAATTAAATGGGAACTACAAAGACCAAGAATCATCTTTGTAAAAATCAGAACGTAACTTGATTACCTCTGTAATCATCTGCCTAAATCTCCACAGCTGTTCCAATACACTGCTGCAAGTGACACTGTAGAATTGTCATTGTTCTTGGCATAAATCATACTATTTCCCCATGACTCATTCTCCCTAGGGTTATATTCTTGTGGGAATCAAGGCCACTGCATCCTTTCCAGTTTGAAGACAATTCTCCTCAATGGGGAAAAAGAGATCAAATGACCCTTGAGCTGTTCTCCTTGAGTAATCAGTTGCCTTTGAGTAACCAATTCCCATTGGGGGCCTATTTCCTGCTTATTCTCCTGCTAAAACATACTCTTTTGCTGCTCTCTTTGGCATCTTTTCCAAGCCTTAATTTTTCTGGGCTTTGGACCGTCTAATTACAATGTAGGATTTTCTGACTCTTTACTACTGGTTCTCAGTCAATGTCCCTCCTTCACCTTTTGCACATCTCTTTTTACAATCTCAGCTCACAAGAGAATACTTTGTACAATGCTATATCTCTTTGTTCCTTGATGAAAAGATTTGTTACTTGATTGTCAGATTGTCAGAATTTCATTTTAAAGAACCTCCGTTCCACCTGAGCCATATTCCCCGTTATAGTCTCTCACTTTTGACTGTATTCATTTTTTTCCTAAATTCTTTTCAATCCACTATCCATATCACCATCTAGTCTTTAGCATCATGGTCATTTGCTCCTACGGTTATTAAAATCTAGGAATTAGCTCAGCATATAATGAAAATATAAAAATATGATAAATTTTTTTTTTTTTTTTAAAGATGACCAGTAAGGGGATCTTAACCCTTGACTTGGTGTCGTCAGCACCATGCTCACCCAGTGAGCAACCGGCCATCCCTATATGGGATCCAAACCCATGGCCTTGGTGTCATCAGCACCGCACTCTCCCGAGTGAGCCACGGGCCGGCCCATAAAATTATTTCCATGACCCAGTAAACTCCTCCTCTGTCAGAATAAAATAAATTAAAATACAAAGTGAGCAGAGGCAGTCTTATGATCAAAAATGTTTGATTATTCATAACAGTCAATAAATGAAGCAAAGAGAATTGCCTAAAGGTAGGAATTAAGAAAATCACTGCTCAGCCACACCATATTACACAATAATTTGAATGATTCCTTTGAATAATTTAAAATAACATGAAAATTCTGTTCAATATAAAACAAAAAAAATCAAGGTACAAAATTACTTTCAAAATGTAACTATTTAAGCATACATATGAGGGTACTTCAAAAATTTTGTGGAAAGATTTGTATTATCTTGAAATTCTATCTTTCCACAAAATGTGTAAGTATGTGTACATATACACACATTTTTTAAATCAAAATAAGCGCTGAAAACATTAAGAGTGCTAAATTCTATGTTTTGAGACTGTAGAGAATTTTTCTTCTTGCCTTTTTCTGTATTTTGCCCTTTTCTTTAATAAGCATAATATTTTTTTTGTACCATAGAAGTTTTATAAGAAAATGAAAACTAACAGAGTAGCAGTGTCCAGTTTTTCTACCTGCTCGTGGGTTGAATAAATTATCTGCCAACTAGGCTGAGAACATTTTTATGCTCTGCTTGTAGTATCCGGTAGGAAAAAGAAAATGTGTTTCAAAGGAAAACTACGCATCCTGTATATCATACCCTCCTGGGCTACCAGATGCTAACTTTGTACTCCTTTGCAACTCTTTGTAAGGTGCAGGTAACAGACAGACAAGTAAATCCTGTCCAGTCTGGTGCTGACTTAAATGATTTCCTCCAGCTGTGGAAAAACCATTTGGTCTCCATTTATAATTCATCTCAATGTTTTCTTTACTTCATATATAACATCCATGCTATTTTGACTTTTCCAATGAACCCTTACAACACCTGCCTGGGTCCCTCACATCATATGAATAAAAAAAATCCTTTATGTGGGTTCACTTTATTCATCTCTATTAGATGATTTACCTTTTTCTGAAAATTATCTTTCAGCAGTCTGAAAACTTGTTTTGTTCCACTGAAGATATAAAAATGAACCTGGATAATAACCTTTATATCTCTGAAGATAAGGTGCTTTCTCTCCTTTAGACTAAACAACCAAAATTTGCCCCACTCTTTGCCCTCAACCCTCCTTCTAATCACAGCAGAATGCCCTACCTCATGCTCCCTCCTGCTTTTTTTTTTTTTAAGGTGGAAAGTAAAATCAAGTAGAATATTCTAGTCAAATCTAAATATACAGAGGTATTAATGAATATGACTACATGTCATATCACTATGATCCATCTCAGTACCATCAACATTTGCCTTCAAGTAAACCTTCTGATGACTCAGGCACAACTTGTAATTCACTCTTTCTCAGGAATATCTGTTCCTGTCACTGCTGCTTCTAAGTAGGTTTCTGGGTAGACTTAAAAAAGTGATTCAGTCATTTGAAACTTGTATTCATTCAACATATATTATTCACTGAACGCCTACTTCATGCCAGATGTTATTCTAATCTCTGGGGATACAGCCTCGACCTTTAATGGCACTTATACAAACAGCCCAGATTGTGGTACTAGAAGTTCACTCTCACACTTAACACAGGATAAAACCACAGATCGCAAGGGTGAGGAGATGAGCATCAGAAACAAGTTTCCTATATTAAGAAATAGCCCAGCTGAGGAAGAAAATTCGCATGGTAGCCTTAGATACAGGACGAAAGTTCCACCAACAAAAACAATATCATCATGACTATTCTACTTATAAATAACATCTTAAAAAAAAAAAGCAAACTCAAACTCAGCTTTACTGACAGGTGTCCTGAGAAAAATGGGAACCTTACCTCTTTTTTCTCGCCAGTCTGTTCAGCAATCAGCTGGTCAAACACAGCCCCAAATTCTTCATGGATTTTCTGCATTTCATTGATGTGACTTGCAACTTTGTTCATGGTCTTGATGGCCACTGGAAGAAGAAAGGTCATGAAATGAGGAAGCTAGCTAGACCATCCAGACACGGGAGCACAGCGGGGGCCCCAGGCTGGGGCGCGGCTCACCGTCCAGGTGGTAGTGTTCCTCGCTCTCCGCATCGGTCAGAGCGAACAGCTCCCTGAGCAGAAGCGGGTACTTCAGGATCCTCTGGATGGGCTTGATGAGGTAAGACTCGAGAGTGGACGAGTGCTGCTGCTTCGGGTTCTGGGCATCCAAGAACGCCTTGAAAGCCGTGTCTGTCTTGGCTAGAAGAGTTTAAATATGGTTGTCAGGGGACGCCCAAATGACTCTCTTCTCACAATTTCACTCACTTATTCATTTATTCCAAGGTGCCTTTTTACAGGACTGAGCAAAGAGTGGGTTATGGGGGTGGGGTGGCACTCAGAGAGACAACTGGAAGGGCAAACTATGGCAAGAAGGGAAAAGATATTTGTTTTTTGGATGGGGTGTTGATGAGTTAAAGGATAACAGAGTTTGTATATCCTAGACGCTTGGATTTTCATGAGCTGTTTATCTTCCTTATATTAAGCATGTTTTTTTATTGTAATGTTTTGACATCAGGGGCCTTATTGACCCTGGGGAGACTAATCCCCTTCCAGGGCTAGCCAATTCCCAGAGATAGTAAAGAACTTGCCTGCAAGCATGCCTTTTATGTGCAAGCCAACCAATCCAGAGTCCCTGCACAGCCGCCTCCTCTAGGAAGGCTCTAGGCCACTGTTCCTAGCTCTAATCACGCCAGGGCCAAGGCCAGGGATCAGACAACTCTGGCACTTACTACACCCAGAGCCCGCTGGAATTATTCGAACTAGCCAGTGCTAAACCTGCTTGCCCAGCCTCACCTGTTCCTTCTTCCAAAAACCAGAATAAAGCCTCTTGCCCACTTGTCCCCCTCTCTCCTTCCACCTCCTGATGGACCCTGCTGCTTCCCCATGTGGTGCTGTGTGGCATGGAATGCCCATTTCTCTTGGGAACTGTGAGCTACAAACTATAGTAACTGTCCCCTGATCTGTTCGTCTCACCCTACATGAATAATAATAAAGCCTACATTTGAAACACTCCTTACCTTGGTTTTCCTAATCTTTCAAGCATTTCACTGCTGGTAGAACCTCTTTTTAAAAAAGGCGGGAAAATACAACGAGAGCTGCAAGGTGCTGCTGTTTCTAAGTGGAGCGAGGCTGGATCTCCCACAGCGATTTGTTCAATGTAAACTCAGCAGTACCAGCTGTTAGGTCTGTGGGGCGGGGATCTGACCTGATGCCGCTCAGGCAGCATTTTCCGCACCAGCCTCACTTTCATGTGTCCCAGGCGCAGGGGGGCACCAAACAAGGAGAGAGGCACCAGCCAGCGGATGATTAGGAAAATGTGGTAATGCCATCCAGGTGCAAAGGAATGTTAGGGGAGGGAAAAATATGGAAAGAAGGGAAAATATATTCAAGTGACTTGACAGTGGACACATGGAGGAGTGTGCAGGTTGGACACACCGGGTGCTGGAAGGGTGGTGCACCCAGACTGGGCACTGATGCTCCATGCTCCTCCCCCACACCTTGCCCTATGCATGTCTTCCATTTGGCTTTTCCTGAGTTATATCCTTTATAATAAACCAGTAAAACACAATCAACATTTGAACATACGCTTCTTTTGGGGGGAGTGGGGGGCAGCTGGTTGGTAAGGGGATCCAAACACTTGACTTAGGTTTTAGAACGCATGCATTCAGAACCTTAATATTCGTCTGGATGACTTTTGGCCATCAGAAGCTAGATGCACCCAGGATGACATAGGAACTCAAAGATCTCTTCAATAAACATGAATAATCAAAAGGGGGGGGGGGGGAGATACAGAATTTTTTTTTTAAGTTTTGGGGGGAGTGGGGGGCAGCTGGTTGGTAAGGGGATCCAAACACTTGACTTAGGTTTTAGAACGCATGCATTCAGAACCTTAATATTCGTCTGGATGACTTTTGGCCATCAGAAGCTAGATGCACCCAGGATGACATAGGAACTCAAAGATCTCTTCAATAAACATGAATAATCAAAAGGGGGGGGGGGTAGATACAGAATTTTTTTTTTAAGTTTCTGATAAAAATGTATTTCCATCCCCAGTGGTTAGGAGTGTGAGCTAAGACCAACAATATTGTAAAATGGCATTATGAAATCATAAAGTGATTCTTCTGTCTTTATTCAATTAAGAAAAACAAATCATGGGGAAAGACCTCATAAGACCAAAATCTTTCCACCCCTTTTAAGCCCATTAAGAGAAATCAGAATCCCATGGGTTCAGCTATCGTTCCTCCTCCTTCCAAAGGACAAATCCCTGAAGAGAAAAGACTGGTTGGCCCATGTGCCAGGGAAGTCAGGCCAGGCCCAGAGCCCATTCATGGGAAAGCTATGATCTCCACGGGGCATCCCAAGTCTCAGATCATGTCTAGAAGGGGCCTAGAAACAGCCCCCCACCCCCACCCACACACACCATCCCCCCAAGTCCAAAAATATGGATGTGGGTATTTAACCCATCAACTATATTTCATGTCACAGGATGAGTGCACTTGGTGAGATCTGTTGATAACCACGTATGTGTACTCTGTTAGATTTCTCTTCACCTTCTTGATTCATTTGGCAATTAGAAAAATATGGGTCACACCTACTGTTTTAAGGGATAGTCCTGAAAGATACTAGAGTATTTTTCAGGTGCAAGAAATAATGCTATTGAATTAAGAAAAACCCACGGGGGCAGTATTTACTCTAATTCAGTGATTAAAAATAACACAAATTGCTCTAAGGACTGTGATGTTTAATTTCACTGTATAGCAGAGCACTCTAAAATGGTTACTTTAACAATCTTATAACAATTAGCAATCAATAAAAGTTTAAGAAACACACACAGTACTACACAACCAGTATAACACATGAGAAAACACGGTCAAAGTCAGACAATAGGACAAGGAGATTTCCAGCTCCCCTTTAAATCTAGGGGCTGAACTAGAATTCTTGCAGACTAATCACTACCATTAAGGCTGTCATTATCTGGGGAATACTCTTTTGTTATCCAGAGACCTGCACTGTATTAATTTAAAACCTATTATAGGAAAAAATTAAGTTAAGCTAGTTCTGTCTGGCAGCAAACATAAACATCAGACACATAAATTAATTATATATCCAGGGACTTGATCAGCAGCTGTTTACTTGGCAGCTGCAATGAAGTGTAAAGGAACAGAAGGCTGATTTCCAGAGATTCTTTGAAATCAAACTTTCTATGGGTTCTACCGTTTACCAAGGGAATGTTTCTTTAATCCTTTTATCCATCACCAACCACCACATGCTGAACTATGGAAGCACAACTCCTTCCTGGAGGCTCTCACAAAGCTCCATCATCTTCTCAAAACAACTGAGTAGCTTGCCAATATAAAAATTTTACTTAGTTCTGCACAGAAATAACTGTAACTAGAATAATTTCCATGAATAGCTGAAACAATTTCAGAAGTGATGGTGGTAGCTGTTATTACAGACCCAGGAACAAAAACAGGTGAGGGAAAGATGAAATTCCACAAAAAAAGTATGTTAAGTGTAAAAGGTTATAACAGAAATTCGTGAAAAATAGGAATAAAGCAGGGAATTTCTAAATCCCCTACGTTTTTACATAACTGCAAAATGACCTATCAATTCTGGCCCAAAATAGCTGAGTGGAAATTTTTATTAAAGAAAACCAATAAAACTATTAATTCAAGATATGAATGCATTTCTTTTCTCAGTGCCCTTATCTGTGGCTTGTTGGAATGTCTACCTGGCACATCATGACTCTCAGATTTTGGTTAAAAGCCCCCAACCCTTGTCAGCCACACAAATGGGAATCAGCAGTCGACATACACCCGCCACTCAATCCTCAGGGGCCTTACCTTTCACCAGGACCTTGGGAACTTTTGTGTGGCTGGCGCAGAAGGCACTGTAGAGCTTGAAGCGGTCAGCATAATACAGAAAGGATCCCCCCAGAGAGAACAGCACTTTCTAGATTTAATGAGAAAAGGCACAGGTGGTTCATTTTCCTTCTCATCTAGAAATATCAGCAGAGAGCTCACATCTGCCTGCCCCTCCCCACAAACCAGCATCACCCATGCCCATCAGAGCACTTTTTCACTCACTGATGCCCTAAAACTGGCTGTTTGAAAGTATGCAGGTTTACAAATGTGTGTACTAGATGGTGGGTTTTTTCTTCTTAGTATGTACAGTGGAGATGTCCCTGGTTTTCCAGGTCTGTTTTTTAATGGCCTATCTGGAATGTTTGGATGTTGATGAGAAAATATATATTTTGAAAAAGGCAGAAATTTGAATTCTCTCATTAGCTCCTGTTGGGACATACAAGTGACAAACCAAATAAAGGCAGGAAATGCTCACACTCCCCAAAATAGAAAACGCATTTCTCTGATCATGACATCCACCCTACCCCAAACCACTCTCTCCTCTGGCAGGGAGCAGTTGAGCACGTAAGCAATATTAATGAAAGAACACGCTCAACCACAGCAACTGGGAATCACCTCCTTGGCCTGTGGGCCCTGCTCTAAGAGAATTAAAACCAGGTGGAGGCCTGCCCTATGCCTGAGAATGGGATACTTTCATCACATATATTTTGTATAAATGTGTACATAAAAGAGGACTCAGAAAAATAACCTCTGTAAGCTTCACATTGGTCTAGTCTTATTCAGAGAGAAGCTTTACTTATTTAGGCTTCAAATTAAAAGTGAGGCTCCAAGCAAAGAAATAGGGTTTTGGATTTCAGTGATAAATTGGGTTCCTCAAAGTGCAATTTATCTACTGAACAATGCAGAGAAGTCTACTAGTCTATCTACTGACTAAACCACACAAAATTGGTGATTAGAAGCCTAAATTCTTTTCCTACATGTTCTACTTTTCCTCCTTTATTTTTCAAGCCCCACCCCCACCCCGTGGCTTAGAAGGTCTCAGCAGGAGCCATCTGATTCCATGAGGTACAGATATCCTTTGAACTTCACCTGAGAATTACACAAGAAAAGTTACAGAAGAAAAAGCTCCAAATGTAACCCCTCCCTTTAGCCATACTAAAGGCATTCATTTGTTTAACTTAGTTTCTAAGTACATTCTGAACAGTAACACATAAAACATTAAGGTATTCATATATTCTTCTGGCCTTAAAAATTGATCTCAGGGGACACCGTGCACATAAATGTGATGGGTTTATATACTAAGACTATATTTCCCTTTCTCTTCCACAGGACCTCAGAGAGCCTCTTACAGGCTGATGTACACTGCAAATTTCCAAGTGGAAATTTTATCCAAACTTATTATTAAATTTAAACTTATATCAAAATGAATTATTTCTTTGTGATACCACTTTGGGATTAGTGTTCTATGTAATGCAGTCTGAACATTTTAACATATTTTTTATGTTTTTGGCCAAATATACAATCAGGATTTAAAGAGAGGGGCAACTGCAGAAACTGAGAGCAATGGGTTTGGGAGCAAACACGGATCATCCAGAAGCCGACTCAGAGGAACCGGAGAGAAGCCCACCAGCCAGGAATATTCAATGTGCATCAGATGATGCACATTGCGCAACTGCTTTACAAATGGAAGGGAGATTATCAGGTTATGCAAAAAGCAGCAGCAAAGTGAACATCAGTGAAAAAGGTCCTACTTGAATGGGATTTAGGACAGTGATCACTTAGGGTGGACTCACTAGAAGAATCAAAGTACCAAACTCTCCCCTAGAATAACTCTGCTTGTGAAACACTCATGTTCATATCAAAGTTCTGGCAACCGAAGTCTCCTTGGTGTTAATCCTTTAAGTAATTAACTTGACCTAAACTCAAAGAACTGGCCCCACAGCAAAAGACTGGTAAATGACTGTAAAGAATGTTAGATACCTTAGGTTAAAACAAAGTGTTTGAAGGTGTACCTATATCGACTTTTATGATACTCCAAATTAAGCAACTTTTTTCATTTATTGACAAACTACTAGGCCATACCATGTGTTCTAATATCCAAATAATTAATTTACTAATTTAGAAAACAGATATCATTACAAAGAGAAACAATAAAACAAACTATTTCAAATAGATAGCAAAGCCATCATAAAGAGGGGAGAAAATTAACTCAAGCAATTTTAAAACACAAAAATGAACTAAATGAAGTATTTTGGGTTAAGAGGATATTAGCCTACAACTTACTCTTAAATAATTCAGGAAAAAAGTTATGTTCCATGTACACACAGACATACACACAGGCAGGAAAAGAAAAGATAAAGCAAATGTAGTCCAATAGCTTTTTTGTTTGTTTTTAGCAGCTGGCTGGTACAAGGATCCAAACCCATGACTTTGGTGTCATAAGGCTGCACTCTAACCAACTGAGCTAACTGGCCAGCCCCAGTCCAATGTTAACATTTGGGAATCTGGATAAAAGGTATCCAGAAGTTCTTTGCCCTATTTTTGCAACTTAAGTCTGAAATTATATTCAAATAAAAATGCATACCTATATATACACATACATATTCACATACTTATGTGTATGCATATATGTGTATTCTAAGTAGCTCCTGTTGCAGAGAAGTACTGTAAAAAGATAACACAAACGCACAAAACATACTGAGGTGAAATACTGAGTGGAGGAAGTGTACAAGTTTAGGAGTGATAGAGTTTGGATGTGTTGTCCCCTCCAAAACTCATGTGGAAATTTGATCTCCAATGTGGCAGTGTTGGAAAGTGATTGAGTCATGGGGGTAGATCCCTCATGAATGGATTAATGCTCTCCCTGGGGGAGGAGGGATTAATGAGTGAGTTCTCGCTCTATTAGTTCCCACGAGAGCTCGTTGTATATAGGACCCTGGCACCTCCCCTCTCTCTCTCTCGCTTCCTCTCACCATGTGATCTGCTTGTACCCACCGGCTCCCTGCCACTTTCCGCCATGAGTAGAAGCAGCCTGAGGTCCGTGCCAGATGCAGCTGTCCCAGAATCGTAAGCCAAATAAACCTCTGTTCTTTATAAATTACCCAGTCTCAGTTAATTCTGCTATAGCAACACAAAACGGACTGAAACAAGGAGCTAAAGTGAAGACTAATATTACACAGCCAGATTCCCACAAGTGTTGGAAGATGACCGGCAGAGTGCCTGGGGACCTGTATGTATATGGACAACTGATTTTTTTTTTTTTTTTTTTTTTTTTTTCCGTGTCCGGCAACGGATCGCAACCCTCAGTGTTGCCCCCATACCGGACCGGGGACCGGCAACGGGACAGCAACCCTCGGTGCTGCCCCCACGCCTCGCTCAGCCAGTGAGCGGGAACCGGTCCGTATGTGGGATCCGAACCCTCGGGTGGGAGCGCCGCCGCGCTTCCCAAGCAGCGCACTATCCAGTGCGCCACCGGGCCGGCCCCGACAACTGATTTTTAATACAAGTGCAAAAGAAGTTCAGTGGGAAAAGAAGGATGGTCATTTCAACAAATAGTGCTAGAAAAATTAGTTATTCATATACAAAAAGGTTAATTTTGATTCCTACATCAAACCATAACAAATTTAAATCAAAATAGGTCAAAGGCCTAAATGTAAGTCTTAAAAACCACAAAACTTCTAAGAGAAAACAGGAAAAAATCTTTGTGAGCTTGGTTTAGACAAAGATTTCATAGATATGATAGCAAAAATATGGTTCAAAAAGGAAGAATTTGAAAAATTGTACTTCAAAATTAAAAGCTTCTGCTCTCTGAAGAGAGAATGAAAAGACAGGCCCCTCAGATGGGGGAAAAATATTTACAAGTCGTATATCTAATAAAGGATTTATATTCAGAATAAGCAAAGAACTCTCAAAACTCAGTATAAGTAAACAAAGAACCCAGTGAAATAAATGGGTAAATGACTTGAATAGACACCTCAAAGAGGATCTATTGAAGGCAAATAAGCACATAAAGTGTTCACTATCATAAGTCATTTGGGAAGTTAAAATTAGAGCCACAGCGAGGTGCCACTACACACCTCTTAGAAAGGCTAAAATTAAAAAGAGTAACCACGAGCTCCTCAGAAGAGTAAGAACAACTGTGGGTGAGAGGACACAATGGTGTAACCACTTGGGAAAACAGCTGGGCAGTTTCTTAATAAGTTACACATACACTAGCCCAATATCCAACCATTCCACATATAGACGTTTACTCAAGAGAAATGAAAGCATACATCCATACTAAAACTTGTATGCAAATGTTCACAGCAGCTTTACTTGTAATTGCCAAGAAGTGGAAACAACACAAATGCCCAAAAGTCAAAAAAAATAAAGTTTATTATACCCATACAATGGAATACTACTCAGCAATAAGAAAGGATTAACTACATGTGAAGCAGTATGGATGGATCTCAATATGACTATGTTGAGTAAAAGAAGCCAAATAAGAGTACATGCTATAGGATTCCACTTACATAAAATTTCAGAATGCAAATGTATCTATAGCAACAGGAAGCAGAGCATGGTTGCCTGCAGGTGGGGAGTACTAAGAGGCAGGCAAGAAAAATCACAAAGAGGTAGGAAAAGACTTTCGGGGTGATGAGTATGTTCACTGTCCTGATATGATGATGGTTTCAAAGTGTATCCATATGTCAAAATTCAAATTGTACACTTTAAGTATATGCACTGCATAGATATCAATTATACCTCAATTAATCTGTTTTTAAAAAACGTATACAAGGGTGACATGTAAGCCCATGAATAAAAGAACTGGAGATGCAGCACAGGAAATCTCAGCAATAAAAGAAAGCCAACCAGGGAAGAGGAAATAAGCCATAAGCATCCTTACTAAAGGCATTAGTCATAAATCCTCATTAAGGCTGCAAGGACGCTGTGTGCTGGAAGAGTGTCTTCCTCTTGAATAATAAGCATTTCCACTAAGCAGAGTTTCCAAGAACAGGGCAAATTAATTTGTTTACTGGGAGATCAGGGGTTGATATTCAAATTTCCTAAAAAAGTATTAAAGGCTCCCTCATAAACGGAACAAAAGGTCAAGGTTGATACATCTTCCAAAGCAGAAGCCTGCAACTGCACCAGTTTAATACAAGTTGATGGCAATGGTGTACCATTAGCCAGACAAGCAATACACACTTGTTTCCCCTCCTGGACTCCTTTAGTACTGATCCCCACTGGGCAGTCCAATGGAGACGTCAACAGCATGAGCACCACAACTTATCAAAGACAGCATAGGTTCTCCTGCAACGTGTTATCAGGGGATCCAAGCTGACCCACAGGATAACTCACCCATGACGTTAGGGGGAAGCTTCACTTTTCTGAGGATGAGACTTACCTTAAACTGGTCGACTTTCTCAAGCTTTTCCAAATCCGGTACCAGTCTCACTCCATCTTCTAGAGTTTTTAGGAATTCTACTTGAAACTCTACCATTTCAGTTAAGTTTCCAAAGAGCACATCAAGCTAGAAAATGAGAAAGAATTTAATCCACCCCAAATTTCATAAGTGTTCAGAAACTTTATTAGTACCTGATTACAAGATTTTTCTACCAATACTTATCAATTAAGATAACGATCCCACTACCAAATGGTGGGCAGCTACTCACCAAGTGCACTCATAGGTTAACAGGCAATAATTTGACCTGTTTGTTACAGCTAAGTGAATTCAAAATGTTTTCAGTATTGTGTGTGCTCCCCATCCCTTCCTCTTTACCAACAAATCAGACTGCAATGTGACCCTCAGAAAATTAAGACAGTTTCTACCATACCTCATCTTGCGTGAGAAAAGTCTCCTTTTGAAGAGGTTTTAGGTATCTCTCCATAAGACAGTTTAAGTCCTAAGAGTTGAAAGGACACCTCATTAGCACATCTACCAGTTTATAAAGAATCTAAAGGAGAAAAAACATAGTATGTCCCAAATGTCCCCATTATATTCTTTAGGTCATTAAAGTCCATTGAAGCAGGAGTAAGCCAAACTTTTCTGTAAATATTTCAGGTTTTTCAGGCTATATGGTTGCTGTCACAACTACTTAGTTCTGCTGTTGTAGCAAGAAAGCAGGCATAGGTGATATGGAAAGGAATGAGTGTGGCTGTGTTCCAATAAAACTTTATTTGTAACAAGAGGCAGCAGGCTGGATTAGGCCCAAGGGCCATAGTTTGCTGACCCCTGATTTAAAGACTAAAATAGATGATTAAAAACAGATCATACTGATTCAACATGGGGAATATAACTAAACATCAGAACAAGTGATAATATAAATAGACCTGACATCCTTCTGCCTAGACTAGATTATGAAGATAACACCCTCAAATTTTTCAAAAACTAAATTCAGTTCTAGTATTAGTTCAATGATATATTTTTTTTTCCTTTTTGTCTTTTTTCGTGACCAGCAACGGATCGCAACCCTCAGTGTCGCGCCCGTACCGGACCGGGACCGGCAACGGGATCGCAACCCTCGGTGTTGCTCCCGCACCTCGCTCAGCCAGTGAGCGGCCGGTCTGTATGTGGGATCCAAACCCTCGGTGGGAGCACTGCTGCGCTCCCAAGCGGCGCACTGTAGCAGTGCGCCACCGGGCCGGCCCCAATGATATATTTAGAAAGGTCAAAAGGATCACTTATATTCACCATCATCTCCTTCCTCAGTCAATCAATAATTATATCAATCGATCAATGAATTCCACATGTATCTTTTGTAAATATATATGCACCCATCAGAATACCTAAATATATATTAAAATTGCTATAAGAACTGACATGCTTTCTTAAAACTCAAAAGGAGAACTTGGCACTCAAAATAAAGGCCAAATTCCATACAACAGACCAAGATGCTCTTCATGACCATGATTTGCCTTCACTGTTAGTCAAAAACAGTACAGACACCCCACCCCATTCCTTCAAGAAGCAGAGGGAGAGCAGGCAGGAAAGGAAGGGCAGGGAGAACAACAGGTACCTTCACGTAGGTGCGCTCGGTCTCCAGAAGCTCACAGATCACCTTGCGTAACTTATCCGCGTCCGAGAGCTGCCGCATGGTTGCCAGCTGAGGCCCTGCAGTGTCCTGAGGAGACGGGCTGGAGTCTGAGGGGTTCATCTCATGCAAACTGCGGCAAAATGCAGCCACCTGTTCTGTGCTCTTCAGCGCACAGGTGAAAAGGCAAGTCAGGTTAGAGAGACTGGTCTGCACCTGTCCCTCCCAAAGGTGTCCTTCCTGGTTAGTGAACTGGCACATACGAATTACATCTCATGCTTCCCCAAATTGCTCCACACATAGGAGAGCTCATTGAATGCTCAAAACAACCATAATCACAACTGCTAACATATGCTGAGTGCTCCCCGCATGTTGTGTCTGATGCAGTTCATCCTCCCACATGGTAAGGAAGGGCTATGATCATTCCCATTTAACAGGTGGGGCAATGAAGGCCCAGAGAGGGTAAGGAACTCATACAAGGTGACAAACCTCCTAAGTGGCAGAGCTCGGATTTGAACCAGGCGGTTTGGTTCCAAATCCTGTGATCTTAACCGCTTTGCAAAAAGCTGATAAATCAGGAGACAGAGAAGTTAAATGCCTTTCACCCAAATTACAAGGCTAATTAATTATCAGACTCTCAGTTCAGTCCACTATCTGCTTACTTTACAATGTTGGAAGACAATGTTACAAGCTAAGATTCTTTCTGTCGCTGTTAAAAACTGACACTGAGGCAACTTTCTAGATAAAGACAGATACCCATACACTAAAAAGAAGTTTCTACCTCTCCAACTTCTCAAAAGGCAGAGAGATACTACTCCCCTCTAAGAATAAGGGAGTTGGTCCTGAAACAGGCCTAAATGAGAAATCCCAGTCTCACCTAGCCTCTATTCAGGGTGACTCAGGTGAAGGCTGTAAAGACTGGAAGGATTTTGTTATCCATTTGAAGTTCAGGATTCTAGCTAGGATTCTAAAAGCTCAGCTTTTCAAGTTATGCAAGACTGTTCTCCAAAGCACGAGCTGCTGAAACACCCATGAGATCAGGAGTTCTCCATCTTAGCTACATACTGAAATCACCTGGGGAGCTTTTAAATATCCCAATGCTCAGTCAATACCCCATATCAATTTAATCAGAATCTCTTGGGTGGGAGATGCAGGTGTCAGTATTTTCTTAGAGCTCTCTATGGAATTGCTTCAGAGGCTATTTTGTAGCACAAAATCTAGTTTATTAACATTTGTTCAAACGCTCTCTAAATATTTGATGGACACCTCTTTAAAGGTACTGATTGCCTTCTCGTAGTTCTCTTCCCTGCTTGTGTTGTCTAATTCAACCCCAGGCAAAAACTATTCTCCTAGGCACAACCCTAGGCATAAATAAACATGAGTGCAAGTAAAGAATTACTTCTAACACTCACCTACCCAGGAGGAACATGAGAAGAACATCCTCCCCAAACAACAATTGGTACACAGAGCTCAAAGTCAAGCCTGGCATTTTGTGTAGGGCACAAAAACTAAAACCAAATGCAGTCCATGGGGCAATTTTTAAAAAAGGAGGAAACAGCTGACATTAAGGAGCCTTTCCCTCATTAGCATATCCAAAAGGGAAAGAAGTCTGAAATGAAGCCAGTACAAGGACAGGGAAAATCAGAACCTAACAAGGATGCATTAGTAGCAGGATCATGACAGCAAAGAGGAGAGCCAGGACCTGAATCCACACAATTATTCTTCTAATTCTCTCACAATTGCCACAGCTTATTTATTGCTAGCACTAACTCTGGTCTTAAATGCCAGAAAGTATCAGTCACCTGTCAGCAGCACTCTTCAATGTTTTCTTTGGAACTGTGTGTTTCAGAATAACACCACAAAAAATTTTCCTTTCTATGACTCACTGGAAAAATTCACTAAAATGGGTTGAATTGTATGGTATGTGAATCATATCTCAATAAGGCTGTTTAAAAAAGAAAAAGATTAAGTGTTTTTAATCAAAGCTTATTTCAGTAGAAACAGACTATTTTATGTAGTTACGCTAGGATTTTCCTAACCCAACATCACCATTAAATACACAGTCAAATAGGACACTGTCTTAAAAATTAAAAAGAAATAAATGCATCCATTTTAACAAAAAGGTTTACATCTTTTAGATGATCCAATGATAACTATGATAGGCAACTCATTATAGCATAGTCATGATGAGAAATTAAAAAAAAAAAAAAACTCACCAGAATGAAAATCCCATGAGCAGTGTTAGCTGACAACCAACTACCCCTGCCCCCATTTTATCCCATACTCTCCCCTTTGTTGCTTTGATTTGGTATCTGGCAAAGGAACCTAACACAACAAATGTATAACTGGCACCTTGGCTTGCACAATGCTTTTCTAAATTGTCCAACAGCAACCACAACTATCTGTCCCTTCCCACAAATTAATAGCAAAACTACCACTCATGATAAATACATCCATGGTCGCTGTCCCATTAGAGGCACAGTACACCTTCCTGCACTTTTATCATTTAGACAAGTTATCCATGTGAAATCAGTGTCCTCATATATCATACCAAGGATGTCCTACAATTTCACAAAAGGCAAAAGTTGTAACCACGGGGCTCTGACACATCAAAGGCAGGAAATTCCAGGAGACACTTCTCTTCGTGCTCCCTCTTCATAGCACGCTGGCTTACTACCATTCTTGGCTATATCTCTGTATAATAATGGAAGGTATAGGGTGAAATTTCTGGGTTTTCATTCCCTCCGTGTTACCGTAAATCCTTTGAGGTTTCCATTTTTAGGAGTATAAACAGGGTTCCCGACTTTGCCTGTGTAAAGTTCACCACCTCCAAGGTGTGGCATTCTTGGACTCATGGCAGAAGCTTAGGGGAATGGGAGGTGGGCTAGAGTTTCAGTGCTCTAAACCTAGCTGTCTCCTACCCAATCTTACCCCCAAACAGCCAGGTTACTCACTGTAATATTGTGATATAATAAGAAATATACTTTTGGTTTCTGCTCCCTCCCTGGTTCCTGGTACAGAGTTCCTAAATACTTTGTAATTTCCTGAGTGATAGGAGCATCTGACACAGAACTCCTAAATCCCTTGTAACTTCCTGGGTGATAGGAGAATCTTGCTTTAATGAGGCAACTCTCAGAGGGCTCCTGGATAGCCTCAGGATCGGGCTGGTTACCAGGGAATCAATCATGTGATGGAAATTTCAGCCACACCACGTGACCTCCAGGGAGGGTAGAAGGGGGCTGAAGGTTTAATCAATCATGCCTACATAACAAAGCCTCCACAAAAATCCAAAGGACTGGGTTTGGAGAGCTTCTGGAGAGCTGAACACACGGAGGTTCCTGGAAAGTGGTGTGCCCAGAGAGGGTGTGCAAGTTCCACGCCTCTTCCCCATACCTTGCCCTATGCATCTCTTCCATCTGGCTGTCCAGCTGTAGCCTTTGTAATATCCCTTATATTAAATGGGTAAAAGTAAGTAAAGTGCTTCCCCGAGTTCTGTGAGCTGCTCTAGCAAATTAATCCAACCCAAGGAGGGGGTCATGGGAACCTTGATTTATATCTGGTGAGTCTGAAGCCAGGTCACTTGAGACTGGCATATGAAGTGGGGGGCAGTCTTGTGGGACTGAGCACTCAACCAGTGGAATGACATCTCCAGGTAAATCATGTCAGAAATGAATCATAAAAACCCAGCTGGGATTTGCTGGAGAATCAGGTATCAGAAATGTGTTGAGTGACTGTGCAAGAGAGCAGGAAGAACACCTTGGGTTTTTGTTTATTTTTTTTTCTTTCTTTCCTTTTTCCTCAAGTCCTGGATTATATTAGAAAATATCTTTAGCATCCCAGGAGACACCTGAAAATTCCCTTAGGTCCTCAGTCCTCCTCCCCCTTATTGTGGCTGACCTTCTTTACATCAAAATCCATCAGGACCTTCTGCATGTAGCTTAGCCATGATACAAAATGTAAGAGCTGAGCGCGGTGCTCTGCCCTGCTCCATCACTGAGTGTGAGGTGGCATCCAGGTCATTCACACAACAAGCATGGTGGCCACAAGTTCCCAGAAAGGTAGCCTCAGTGGGAAGTTCTCAACGTGCTCCTGCAAGTCAGGTTTCCTGGGTCTGAGACAAATTGCTAAGGACTCCTGTGAGGAGGAAGATAGTCAAGGTTTCTCCAGTGGGAAAAGTATAAACCTCTCCCTACCTGAGGACAGTAATTAGTCACCCTAGAAACCAAAAAGCACTTATAGGCATTTGAGAGTTTAAAATTGTTACAGGGTAGCAGAGCCCTTCCACTGTCAGGACTGAGAATTATCCAACCAACATACAGAGAAGGACAGGACAATAGAGCAAGAGGAAATGGGCCACTTTACTGAGGCCAGCTTGAAGCTCAATGTTTATAATATCGCTTTCCTCCTGTGTAAGATGAAAAGAAAGTACAAAAAGAGGGGGATGGACTTTTAAGCACACACTACCAGCTCAAGCTACCCAGCTGTTTAAGCTCTTCCTGTTATGCAACCATTAAAGGTAATTTCTACCTCTAGTTGAGTTCAGAGTTCTAAAACTGTTCTTTGAGTCTGACCGATTTAATACAACCCATAGATTTAAAAGGCCCAGAATGGCCTAAAATCTTATAGCCTTATTTAAACTTTTTCGGAGGACAAACATCACAGCAATGTACTCTGTAATTTGAGGACTATTATACACAATGGTAATCCATATAGTTTTCCTCTTGAACAAACTTCAAAGAAGAAACATCTAAGGACGAAGGCGTATTTGGGTAAATCGGGCTCACTCTGAAAGTTTAAGTTTCATTAAGTGACACAAAATTTAAAAATTGACGGTCTCTGATATTAATAATAACTATTAAAAGGTTCAACTTGATTTTATTTCTTGCCATTAACCCACTACATTTTCTCATTAGAGAGTCACTTTTACCATAGGAAAATGACCTGTTCAAACAGGTCAGTTGACATTACACCATTAACACATCCCCTGAGGCAATACTTCTCAATCCATCTCCTTCTCAAGTAAGCAGAAATAAAGAAAAAAACACCTAAACCTTTATAGAAGCAAGAGAGTTGAGCAGCATCCTTCTGGAGCTGCTTGCTGAAACTGAGGTGGGGATGGGATAGACTCACCAAGCATATAACACAAAATACACTCGAAATCTCAATAACCAAAAGGGGGGGGGGGGTTGTTTCCAGTGGCAATTAGTAAAAAAGAAATAAATACAGACTACATCTTTCTCCCATTTTAGTATGAAAATATGTGTAGGTAAATGTAAAGATTCTAGGCAAACTCAACCCCAAACCAGCTGCTGACCCCTCCACCCTCCAAAAAAAAAAAAATGCTACAAAATATATTCTTTATCAGCAAGGAGGCCCAGAGGGCAAAGGGATAAATATGGGGAAATGGGACAAGCATAATCACCATCATTTAAGTTAGAAAACAATTTAGCTGGTAAGTCATGACATAAACAAGGCTAGCAAGATAGAATTCAAACAGCAAACGCGCTCACCAGATGAAGTGTCCGATACATACAGTCACCGGACCTGTCACTGTTTTCCATCCTGGGCTTGCGCTTTATTTTCCACAGTGCAGACATCATCAGCAATATATTCTCATGGCAATTAATTCTACCACCTGACGTGTTCGGCACTAGATCCGAAGTTTCTTAAAATAGTCTGAGAGCATCGGACATCATCCAGCTCCGAAGAGAGCATCCTCTCATCTGGACATCCCATGCTGGTTCTCCCAATGAAAACCTACGGCCACATCTCAATGCAGAAAGGACAGCGACGATGCCACCTGGAGAGCAGCACCCGCCTCCCATCACTGCCTGCTGGGAGGCTGTCAAAGGCTAAACCATGGACAAGAACTCATGCTTTGATTTCACCTGGCTAAACGACAAAAGTTCCAGAAAGGAAGAGAGCTGAAACAGGCAAGAAAATAAAGCAGAGAACGCCTCCCCAGGATGCCAGCGTCTCTCCCCTGCGGCTGAGATCAGCTGACTGGCCAGCATCCTTCACTGTCCAGGAATATTAAACCTGTCCGGCTCCCACAACTTTGAAGGCATTCCTCACTGACTCAGGAGCAGGCATTAAAAATACTCCTTTTCTTTTTTTTTTTTTTTTCCTAACAGTTTATAGTTTCAACTTTTCTGCTAATGCTGTGTTACAAAAACAGACATTTCTAAGACAATAACAATATGGGTGTTTTTTTAAAAGTGGTTCTGAATGGAAATGTTTTGAAAATTATTCTAATACATTTGCTAAATGAAAAACAAAACCACAGCTGCCAGGGGGCCTGGAATGCATGACACTTGCCCAGAGCTAATTAGCATTCATTTCCAAAAACAAGAGTTTCCAATTAGAAGCAGGGAAACAAGTAGCCAGTGGTGATGAGGCTCTTTGAGGTTGTCACCCACAGTCACAAGAGGAAGGGGGCGGTTTACAAAGAGAAAAAGGCCGCCAGACTGCCACTGCAGTGTGATTGTCCCACCCCACCCCACCCCCCGTGGCTGTGACATTCCATTGCCACCACCACTCAACGACAACCACACAATTATCTACTCGCTCAACTCCGAAGGCCGCGTAGCAAAAACTGCCATTTAAAAAAATTGAAAAATGCATAAAACTCACAACATGCCTTCTCTTTGTCCTGCCCGACTGTATAAAACAGTTTATTTAGCAAGAATGATTAAGCAACAATAAAATTAACAGATCTCACCTATTCAGCTGGAATAAAAAATAATGATTTGTTTCTACTTATTAATTTACTTGTATTTCTACACCTAGCCTGGTGCATTCAGACAAGGCTAACTCATCCTCCCATATATAGACAGCTTACAACTTAAAAATTAGGGGTTTTTTTATTCTCAAGAAAAATTACACACTGATATAGGAGATGCATCAAAAAATATTTAACTTTAATCAAGAAACTTAAGATATTTGCTTTCTCTTACTTTAAATCATAAAAAAATACACCCGGAAAGATTAAGCATTAGGTAAATATTTAAATAGTTAATGACTATATATCTACGTGGCCTACAGCATCACTAGGCCTGATATTTAACACCAGAACTTAACAATCTGGCCAGAAGGTAGTTTTAGCACATCCATTAACAACACAAGGCCCAGAGCCAAAATGTACTTGATTCCTGGTTTGAGCTGTGTGATCTTCAGCAAGTCTCTTAACCTCTCTGTTCCAGTAGCCTCATCTATAAAATAGGAAAAATAATAGTATCCTTCTCAGGGGTGTTGTGAAGATGGGATGAGCTGATATAGAACTGTACCTAATGTACACAAAACACTAAATAAGCTTTACTTCTCATTTATTGTTAATACACAGTAGGAACCAGTCTCCAAGAACTGCTTGTTCAATTTTAAGGTTTTTGCTTTCAAATATCCTAAATGAGAAATTTAATTCATCAAAGGCTATTGTAGTTAACTAACTTAGGTTGCATGATAAAATATTTTATAAAGAAGATGAAATCTGAATCAAATCAAAACCAGAAAACATTTTGGGGTACAGAATTACACAGGCTCCCTACATCCAATTTAGCAAAGAGGAATATGGACCTATGATTTGAATGCAGTCTACTGTATAATCTTTAAAAACATATCCAAACGTTTTGTCAATAATTTTGAGGAAATTCTCTATGTTCTGAGAAAGTCCACTGTGAATTTCTAAAGGGAAATCCAGGAACACCATCACCTGTTCCTACATTTGACCCTCTCTGTTCCAGATGAGTTTCTGGGCCTTGTTCTCTGCAGAAGTAACCATGAAATCAGAGAGATACACAGGATCAGTCAACAAAGCCCTGGGGCCTCTTCCTCTCTACTGCCAGAACCTCATATTATAGAAGACTCTCTTTAGGACCTCATGACTCACTATATTTAAAATGGAAACAATCTCTCAAAATCCACAAGGGGGATGAGAACACTGAGCTATTACAGTGAGGTAACAATGATCCAAGTTAAAAAGTATTCAGAAATAAACAATTTAGATACAGGAAAAATAGCTGTTTCCCTAAACCGAATAAGAAATTGAAAAATAACATTTTTAGTTTCTATAATAGGATAACTTAATATATACCATTCAAAATATCTTACATCAGTATAGAAATACTTGAAGGCAACTCCATCCACCACCACCCCCACCGAAAAAAGTGGGTAAAAGTAATGTAAGGGCCACATAAATAAAAAGTAACTTTAAGCAGTTTTGTTTTGTTTTGTTTGGCTTTCTTTAAATGAAACATACATTTCCACTGATCTGCTTTTAAATTCATAACCAACAAAATAATCTCTTTTACTCTCTAAATATTAATGTTACTTTCAAATACTAAATTTTATTTTGGACCCTACTTAAGAAGACACTGAGAATGACAATCCTATGGCAGTAAAAGAGAAACAAATCTGGGTAAAAGAGAGGTGGAACACAGTCAAACACGTGCATTCAAGAATGTCCTACAGAGATATATAAGTGCAGAGGGAGACAAAACAGGAAACCTATAGAAATGTAGGTTTTAAAAATAATAGTTCTTATCTGAATAGCATATTTCTATATCGATGTGCTTTCCCATAGTTACATTTGACCTACCCAATAATGCAGTCACTGGGCAAAGGCAAAAATCACACTGATTTTGCAGATGAGAAAACAAAGGCATGATTTAAAGTTACGTGATCCTTTCTGGTTAAGTGACTGGTAAGCAAAAGAATAAGAGCTCGGTAGAGGTAATGTCGTTGTCAACAACATTATAAAAAAGATGAATCAGTATGGAAACATAATCCCAGGCAACTGCTTTCTTTGGGAAGGGGTATCTTTTGGATATAAGTAACACAGACTTTTTAAGCTGTGCTGTGTTTTGGAGACTGTGATGGAAAGAGGCTAATGACCCATGAACTCTTTATGAGGGGAATAGAAGCAGATGAATATGGACGATTTCAGCGTCTCGCATCAACATCAGAAGAAATTTCTCACAGTGCTCAGCAGAGGAACAGTCTATTTGGATTAATAATAAAAAAAATTTTTTTCTTTCCCTTTCACGTAAAAAGATGCGCACCTTTAACAAGAGCCGAACACAGATAATTCAAAAGGAGTTCATTACAGAAACCCTAAGTTACAAGCAAGCGTAGCTGATCAGTTGCACACATTTTGGATGCTGTTTCATCCACACAAATGAAAATATAAGAAAGAAATAGGATGAAATTGTGGCATTAACTGAGAGCTACAGCAGTGGCAGAAATGAAAGAAAAAGGACTTCGCTTCATTATGAATGGTTTCTGCTCTATATTCTCACACATGGGTTGGTTATCAAGGCTATAATTTGGATTCATATCCTTCTATTTAGAAACATCTCAGAAGTAAAAACACCTTGTCCCACGGAGAGACCTTCTAACCACACACAGCTGCAAAGTTGATGTCTCAGCTGTGATTCTTCAGTGGTTGCAGATACAGAATGTGAAAATGAAAACCTCTCACCTTGCTGCTGTGATCAGTCTCATCTGAGGATTCCAAGTCCGGCCCTTCCGTCTCCTCTGGGGCAGTCTCTGCACTACTGCCTCGCTCGCTGCAGAGGCCGTGTCCTGTCAGAGGAAATCAGAAGAAAACATGGGTCCACACGTGTAGCAATTGCTAAAAGCCACTCCTGTGTGAGGGGGGCATAGAGCCGAGCTCATAATGTGTACATATGTTGTGAGACCCCTCCTCCCCCAAGTACAAGCTCCATGATCTCGGCTTCATAAATGATGGTATTTACTGTTACTAATATTGTTATCATTTATATTACATTTTGATAACATCTATTTTGTAATATATGATACTTGTTATGGACTGAGAGTGTTTGTGCTCCTCCCCAAGCCCTTAACCCCCAATGTGATGGTATTTGCAGGTGGGGCTCTGGGGAGGTGATTAACTGTAGAAGAGGTCCTGAAGGTGGGGTCTCCATGATAGGATTAGTGCCATGTAAGGACAGGAAGAGACCAGAGCTCAAGCCCTCTCTCCACCATGTGAGGACACTGTGAGAAGGCAGCTGTCTGCAAGCCAGGAAGAGAGCCCTCACCAGGGAATCAAATGGGCCAGCATCCAAATGGGGGGACTTCCCAGCCCCCAAAACTGAGAAATACATGACTGTTATTTAAGCCACTCAGTCTATGGTATTTTGTTATAGCAGGCCAAACTAAGACAATAATTTACAATATATATAATAAAATGTATAATGTAAGAACATACATTTTTATATATTATAAATTAATTGATTCATAATTAGTCAATTGATTGATTTATTAATTCATTAGTTGCTAAAATAATTGAATAAATTATACTGAGTAGCAGCACAACAAAAAAAATGACTGTCCCATACCCATTACCTAAAAAATCCTATGATGTTTGTTTTTGCCAAGTGCAGCAAACTATAAACATCTAATAATACCCACTCTTCCCCCATATTCTGTGCAAAAATGCAGGTAACTTTCTTCCTTTCCTATTTACTGAGTGCCTACTACAGTGGTTCGAGACAGTGGTTCCCTGCATTGGGGAAGAGAACATTAGAATCACTTTCCTCTGGAGGGCTTCTCAAATTTACAGAGCATCCCCTGGGGATCATGTTAAATGGAGATTCTGATATAATAGGTATGGGTTTCTTACAAGCTCTGAATGAGAGTAATAATCAATACTGCAGGTTCACGGACCACACTTGGAATAAAAAGACTCCAGAACATTTAAAAACCTTCCCTAGATGAATCTCATACTCAAGCCACCACTGTCTTAGAACATGCCAGGCCCTGAATCAGGGACTATAGCACTAGCACTATACCCAGACAAGAAAGAAGGAAAGAGAAGAAATAGGAGTAGAAGAAGCTTCTTTCTGATGCTTTGGATGAAAGCTTCAGTCTGCAAAGTGGCTGCCTTACTCCAATGACACTGTTACAGCCATAAGGTGCTTGGCATCACTTTCTATTCAAATTCCAAGTTGGCAGGGAAACTTAGGGAGGAAGAAGCCTGAGCAAACCGTACACCAGGGCTGCCTCCTGCATCTCCGTCCCCTTCTCTGGGATGAAGCGTCAATTAAGTGAGTGTACCCTGCATGGCTTGGAGGTCTCTGTCTGCTTCCCCCCTCTTGCTCTGGCTCTTGGACTTCTTGCACTTCTATTCATTACTCCCTCCCTCTATAATAAGGGGGTAGCAGTCAAAGAAAGCAGCTCGGTTCACTTGGCAGACATCATCAGTGTCCCACCATCACCTCCACCAGAAACCAAAGTGATTGAATACTTCGTATGGGGGCAACAACCTAGATGCTGGGGCCAGAAAAAGAAGAGCATGAGTTGATCCCTGACGTGGAGGAACTGACAAGCTCACTCAGGGACACGACACTACAAGTGCTAAGCTCTCTCTCTGATGACAGGAACCTCAGTATGCTTGGCCCTACGTCCAGAGTGGCCAGGCTGCACGACTGGCAGGGGCACCCTTCCCACTGTAATCTGCAGAATGGAAGTCTCCAAATTGTACAAGTCACAGACTGAATAGTCAACCGTTGTGACCCTGAGTATCCCCATTGCTTCACACAGTGCCTGGAATACAGCTGATACTAATGAAATAGTGGGACAAGAGAATAAGAGGATCTTCATTTCTAACAATATTGTGGGCTAAGTGTCCTGAAAAACAACAAATAAACCCTACTTCTACAAGTTCTTAGAAATGCCGAATACAATATAACAAATATCCTTTTAAATATAGAGCCAGGCTCCAAGAAATCCCTAGAGCCCCAGATGAAGAAGTTAAGAAAGGAAACGGCAGCCTAGCGCCCACACCACAGCAGTTCTGAGTACATCCGTCAGTTCCCAAGCCCTAGGGCAGTGTTTCCCAAAGGGGGCAAGAACCTACTGGTATTAGCAGGGGGATGACTATTTTGGGACAGAATTGTGCATGTGGCACTAGACTTCCTTGCTCCTGGGAATTAAATACTATTAGGACTCCCCAGTCACTGTGACCATCAAAAATACACCCACATACTTCCCAACAGCAGCACCACGCAGCTTGGGACCCACTGCCCTGAAGCCGGCGTTTTTCACTGAAAAGCCATGAGACAGAAAACAGTTGTACTAACTGTGGGGTCAGTACAACTTGGAAAGTTAGAACTGAATCATCCACATTCATGTGTTTCCCTCAAGGGGCTATTCCCCTCAGTCTAAAAAGATGTAAAAAGACTAAAAGAAAAAAAAAGTATTCACTGACAAAAGAAAAAGAAAAGAAACCTCATCTAATTCTATCCATACTCTGGGGCAGGAGAATGGGGAGAAAGAGAGGCAGGTTTCTTCCCTGAGATTTTACCCAGAGGACTGGCCTTGTGGGACTCTGGGGTTCAAATTTACACTGCGCACCACATCCAGAAAACCCCAAGATGAAAAGCTGCCTTAAAGTCATTCTGGATTTGTATTCTAAGGGCATCTGGCAGGAGAAAAAACAAATCCATTCTGGAAGGATTCACTCTTAACAATGGTACCATATATGCCCAGAGGCAGAGCTTGATCAAATAAGAACCTATAACCCAATATTATAAAACACAGGAGGAACCACGTCACCATGAGTGAGAGGCAACAGACACAACAAGCAGCAGAACCAGAACCAGACCCCCAAAGAACAATACGGCAATTATCAGACATGGAATGTCAAATAAGTATGCTCAAAATATTCTTAAAAAAAAAAGAGAGAGAGAGAGATACTTTCAAAAAAGACAAAGTAAATTAATAGGATTTCTAGAAACAAGAACTACAACCACTGAAATTAAACACTCAGTGGGTAAGAATATAAGTTGCAAAAAAGAGAGAAGCGCAGAAGATCTATCTGAAGACATTACCTTACTATAGAACATAAATCTTCAAATGTTGAAATTATCAATATTGAATTGCATTTCCAGCTAAAATACTATTCAAAAGACTATATATAATAAAGACATCTGAGAAACAAAGAGTGAGAAAGTTTACCACCAACAACCTCACTAAAAAGAAAATTCTCTAAAGGATGTACTTCAGGTATATTTTATCCCTAGAAAGAGATCTGGTATACAAGCTGAAAAGATAAAGAGCTGATATACACATATACATGCAGTTATGTTTTAGTATATGAAACAATCCCTCACCCCCCCATAAAAAGGCATTTGGGGGTGAAAAATACAAAATAAAACTAAAACAATGGTGGGGATGATTATATTTAAAGCACTTCGTGATAATTTTATGCTTCAAGAGAGAAGTAAAAAGACTAACTTTGGTTTCTGTTATGTTAAGAATCATGTTAAAATTTTAAGAGTGACCACTAAAAAGAATAGAAATTCATTATATAAGTTGAAAGAGGAAAGTGGAATTTACAAATGCAATCTAGAAAAGGGCAGGAAAGGCAGGAAAAACATCAAGACAAATGGAGCAAAATAAGAAGATCACAGAAACAAGTCAAAATATATCATCTAGGGCTGGCCAGTTAGCTCAGTTGGTTAGAGCACAGCCTTGTAACTCCAAAGCCATGGCTTCAGACCTCCACGCTGGCCAGCTGCAAAAAAAAAAAAAAAATGTATCTTCTAAATAAATGTAAAACAGACTAAACTTAACACTTAAACTTCATGTTTAGATGAAAAAAAAAAAAAAAAATGAAAAACAGCCCTGGCTAAATGTGCTACATGCAAGCGATAGACCTACGCATAAAGAAACAGAAGATTAAAAGTAAAAGAATGGAAAAATATGTTAGGCAAATGCAAAGAAAGCTCTGTAAATGTCAGACACAATAGATTCAGTCAGGATACAGAAGACATAAACATCAGCAATTATTAAGCTTGATCCATGAATGTATTTCAAAACTATTTCCAAGAAATAAGTGAATATATATTTTTCCCAAGTATTAGCAATTTACAAATAGGGTATATATTAAGCCACAATATAAGTCTCAACCAATACTACAGAATCTTTATTCAGACCACACAGGCAGTATTTTTCTCAAAACTAAAATTTTTATGAAAGAGCAAAGGCCAATAACACCAAAGACAGTTTTAGAGAAGAAAAACAAGATTGGGGTACTTTCCCTACCAGACATCAAAACATTTTATAAAGTTACAGTAATATAAAGCAGTGCACAATTTCCAAGGAAATAGGCTAATGGAACAGACAGCCCAGAAACTGTCCCACCCGTCTATGGGAGTGTGACATGCAGCAGAGATACCACTGCAGATCAGTAGGAAAGGAACAGACAATTTGATCAATGTTATCTGGACTATAGATTACCCACATGGAAAAATATAACACGGGATCCTAACTCATACCATTCATAAAAATCAGTACCAGGCAGGTATAAACCAGAATGTGAATAGCCCAAACTGTAAATCTTTTAGAAGAAAATATAGAAGAGAATGTTTGTACTCTCAGGGGAGAAAAGGATTTCTTAAACAAGATATAAAAAGTATAAACCACATAAGATCGAAAATTAGATTTTACTAAAGTTAAACACTTTTGTTTGTCACCGCAAAAGCTTAACATATATACTGGAATGGAATACTACTCTGTCATTAAAAAAACAATGAAATTCTGCCATTTGCAGCAACATG